ACACCACTGGATTGATTTTTAATGCTAGACTGTGAACAAGATTTGTGAGCACTATATTTGCAACAGAACTATTAAAGTATTTCCCAAGTTAAAAAATGGCCACTGTTTGCTGACAATAGTGATTCTCACTCAATACGTCAGTGGAAGCAGGGAAATAAATGAACCTTAATAAAATACTGGAGAATAAAATATCCCAGAGAGATAAACAGTAATGTTTAAAAAGATAGGCTTGAAGACTTTGAAAAAAAAAGAGTTATAAGAACATGTTGAAGGACTACAAACTAAATTCTCCAAACGGACTTGATTAAAAAACCAAGCCTTTAGAAGAAAGAAAAGATATCTGATGAACCTCATCAACAATTACATTCTGAAACAAAACAAGTACATTTCAAATAATAAATACCTTTCTGAAAAAGAGAGATTTTGGAAATTAGTCTACAAATAAATACTGTTAACCACAGGATATGAGAGGGATATTCAGGAGATCTGTTACTCTTTATTAAAGTTTATTGTATAGCTAATAAACAGCACAAAAGGAAAATAATTAAAACATATGCAAAGATGCACTAACTATAAAAGGGGAACAACTGTATTTTGAAAAGTTAAAAAAGCAACAATGCTGCACTTAGTTACAGACAAATTCTAGCTCCAATATCCAACGCTTCCAGAACACTTCACAAAAACTAGACTTAAGGCCATGTGCTGTTACACTACCACCCTGTGGCAAAGTACCTGAAGTTTCCTGAGAAAGTGTTTTCCAAATGATAACCTGCTTTCAAAAAGACTTAGAATTCTTGTTCTGAGGACAGGAAAACAGAGATTTATAGAGACAAACAGATACTTAGCTATACCTCAGGAGACACTGCTCAAGAAACACTAATAGAGAAAACACAATAAAATTTGTCTTCAGAGGGTTTGTGACCTCATTATCTGGACACAAAATTTGAACCTGTGGCTTCTGAAACCTAATTTTCTGGCAGTGAAATAAAACATGGTTACCTTCTTTTCCTCCTGTTGCAAAGTAAGTAGACATTCTAGTATGTTAAACATATTGAAATATGAGGGACTGTTCATGTGATGCTCCTAATAACTTCAGCCAATTTAAAATGGAAAATAAAATTAGTTATTAAAAAATTAGGATGTTACATTCCCTGTTAATACCAGATCCCTAGGATTGTGCCACTTCATAATTCCAGCCTTGCTTCAAGTCTCTGCATTAATATGATGACTAAGACTTGATTTCCTTAAAACATTTTAAAGTCTTAAACTGAAAGCATGATCAAAAAAGGAAGAAGAAACTAGGTTTCTTTAAATGTTTTGCTGGATTTTAATGTAAGATATTTTTTGCTTTGGGCCTATAAATAAAAACTGTAGTAGACTGTGAAAAAACTTTTCTGTATTACAGAATTATAGCTTTGGGAGAACTGCCACTCACAAGAAGTTGATAATACACAACAAAAATAAAATCCGTGGTCATAACTGGTCTTGTATCTACCCTGGAGAGAACTTTGTGAAGGTAAATGTGGCTCAACAAAGTCAGTGAGAATAAAGAACATTCTTCTGAGAACTCTTTTCTGAGAAAGGACTGCTTACTTGCCCCCATGAACTAAGGGCACCCACTTCAGGACTAGGAGACAAGTCAAGGACAGAACTAACAGGGAAAGCTTTTCAGTTCAAAGACTTGCAGATCTCTGAGAAGCAGCTACAGAATTTAGACTGCCAAATAAACACGTACAGGCATTTCTACTGCCAATATTGGGGCACACCAACTTTCCAGCATAGTTAGTCCTTATGACTTGCATTCAAAGCACAAGAAATTTAGCATGCAAGATGCAATCATCTCAGCATGCAGAACATCTTGCACAATTGTTTTCTAATTATCAAAGAAATTGATTATTGACTTAAAAGGTTTGACCCTTCTTTTTTCTTATCAATATATGTAAATTTCTTCTTTCAGTTGCCCCAACTCAAGCTTCACCTTATGTCAAATCAGATTGTTTGCTCAGAATACCAAATAGCAGAAACCTGATTTTGTTTTGCTATCAAGAGAAAATAACCCACTGATCAGCTGTACAATTAACTTCTGCCAACATATCACTGCATAGTTAGCATTCTCTGACTTATCCAACCACAGACCATTTCCATTTTTTACACTCGAGTGACACCTCGAGGCTGTCCCTGCATGTGACAGATTTTACCTTTTGCTGGAAGTTGGGCTCTGACAAGAACCTTGATCCATTCTTCATCATCCTGGAATTCCTGCGAGAGTTTCAGAATGCATCTGGTATCTTCAAACTGTTCACCTGTAACCCACAATATGTCACCTCAGTTCATGTCCCTTTCTACTTCCCACACATCCCAAATGCAATATAATGGAAAGCTTTCTCTGTACAAGCCCCTGCAACTGAAATACCAGGTGAACACAGGGAACACATGCTTTTGAAGCCATTGAAAAACTCCATGCACACATGTTCAATTTTTTTTCAAAAGTCTTGGTTTTCTCCTTCTAGCAGAATAGGAATTGCACACTTGTCTCTGTTTATGAACAGGATGTGTTGTGTTTGGAGCATGCTTTCTTTCCTTTGGTCTGTTCCACAGGCCATTGAAGTACAGAAAAAAACTCATCCTGTTATTTTAGGGGCTGTACAGGTTCCCCTGCATTCTTTAGGTGCTGCTCCTGACTTGCATTGAGCAAAGTCCAAATATTTTTTTTTAAATCTCATTGTCAGGAAATGGAAAAAAAAAATATTTGTGACACTGACACAGGAATACACATTGCAACATCTTTAGCTATAATGAAAGTGTGATTAGCAGCTTCAGGAACTGCTTAGCATCAGCAGGTCATGTTTTGCACTATGCAAAGTACATCAGAAGAACTGTAAGACATAGGACCTTGTAAGAAGTAACATGAGGTGAAAAAGCCTTCCTTACATCAGCATGTCAATCCTTGGCTTACAGTAGCTTTCTATATGGAACATTCCTAACTCCAGAATAGTAGTTTTTAACTAGTCCAGGATGAAAGGAACAAATTTAACACAGACTTGTTCTATCTATTATTTATGAGTAAGAACTGCAGCATTGTCATCTGTCTCTACCCCCCCCAAAAATCCAACTAAACAAGTCAGCTAAAGAGGTCAGATTTGTTCTCCCCTGACATGGAAACTGGCCCTGACCACTACTTGCTTATAGATCTCAGATGGCACAAATACCTCATGTTTGTCAAAGGTGTAATGATCACAGAAATCTTAAAGACATTCTTTTGAAGCAACTGCTCCTGGAAGCTTGGCACAAACCTTTGGTAGTAATAGAAAACCTGTGGATGTCTCCTGCCAGGCTTATTTAGAAGGCTTTATAGCTTTATTACTGCTGGTCAAATTAGACAAGATCAAATCTGCTTTCCATGTCAATGATTAAAAATGACTGGTTTTGAGTTTGCCACAACTGAGCCTCTCAGATGCCAGGAAGTTAGTTAGGAAGGAATATCTATCTGGATTTCTGATCCAATCTCTTGTTCAATGCAAGGCCAACCTGAAAGTGAGTCCAGGTTGTTCAAGGCCATTATGTCATGGACTTTGGGGCACTACAAAGGACAGGGAGATAAAAGAATGGAGATTCACTAAGGATAAAGGGAAGCACATGAATGCTGAGGAGTTAGTTTATGTTTGTTATGCCAAGGCAACCCAGGAGACCTGCCTAACAAAACCAGAAATATCCCTACCTATCAGTTGAGTGCACGTAAGCATTTAAGAAAGTACAAAAAGAGATATTAATGACTGTCACTAACAACACATAAGGAAGGAACAGGCAAGCCAGGTTTAAGAAGATGCATTCTTTAGGAAGCCAGTATAATTCATTGACAGAATTTGAGGGATGCAATGCTTGGGAACTATGTCACAAACTCAGCATCACAAGCATTTGCTCACCTCTAGTTTCTGAAAATTGCTGTCAAACGAAGGCTAATTTTATTCAACTTTACTTCTGAAAAAAACTAACCATGTTCATTGAAAACCTTGCACTGATTTCTCAAATCTTCCAGTGCATGAGGGACCATTGACATCTATAGTTTTAATAATTTTTTACACAGAAGAATTGAATATACAGGTTTTCAATGACAAAAATGCTTAAGTTTATTAGGTAATTATCCCTAAGAGGGAAGAAAAAATATCCCCCAAAACACTACTTAAATCAACTATTAAATCAGGCAGCAAACAGAAGTTATCCAGTATCTGCATAGCTGGAAGACATCAGTTTGTGCTACTATTTGCAGAATAGTCACTTGCCCTCCTGAGCCCAACAGAGTCCATTACTCAGGGACTTTATTCTTCGCCAAGCTACTTTCGACAGTTTTTTTTTTTTTTAATGGACGATGAAATAGCCGTGCGAGGGCTCCCGTTTCTAATGCTTTTCATAGCTGTCTGTTCCTTTTTCTTTTCTTTTGTTTTTCCCGTTCCCCGCGCCCCCTGCGCGCGCCGTTCCCCTGGCAGCCGGGATTGTTTTGGGCGGAACCACCCGCGGGCGCTGCGGAGGGGGGAGCGGGGCCAAGGAAGAGCGCACTGGCGGGGGGAAGGGGGGAGGCGGGGCGGCCGCAGCCGCCGCCGGGCCACGTCGCGGCCGCCGCGGGAGCGGACGGGCCGGGGCCGGGGCCGGGGCCGGGTGAGTGCTGCCCTCGGCGGGCAGCGGGGCCGCGCCCCGGGCCGGGCGCCGCCGGGCGCGTTTCGCCGCTGGTCGCAGTGCGCGGCCCCGGGGGCGGGTAGCGCTGGGTAACGCCTCCCCGGCGCTGCTCCCTCCCCCGGCTCCCCTGCCCGCCCCGGGGCGGGGGGCTCAGCCTGGGGCTGGGCACGGCCGCGGCCGCTCGGAGACCGCGCCGGGAGCGCGGCTGTTGGCGCGCGCGGGCCGGGAGCGGGATCGGGGCTGGGCTGGGAGCGGGAGCAGGGGCGGGAGCGTGGTCGGGCTGGGCGGCGGCCAGCGCGGGCCGGGTGCGCGGGCGCGCTCCGGGAGGGAGCGGGAGCGGCTGGCGCAGCTGGCGAGCGTGCCCGGAGCGGCCCCGCGGCGGCCTAGAGCGACCTCAGTGCTGTCGCTGTCCGCTCCCGGCGCGCTGGCACGGGGCAGTGCCGCGGGGAGCCCTAATCCCAGATGGGCGTTGTTTCGCCCCCGCCACCCCACCCCCGCTTTTCCCGAGCTCCGGAGTTCACTGGGGTGACATGCTTGGGCAGCTGCAGTGAACATACACAGTGCTTCTCCATGCCTGACACCTTGGGCTCCGACGCGGGGATGCCTCCCTCGCGTGCGGGACGCGCATCTGGATGCGCATCACATCCTCGTTAAATAATTCCGTCGGTTAGTCCAAGTTGTGATGAGGGGTCGGAAAGTCCCTTTACATGTTTTAAATCTTCTTTCAGGCAAAGCAGAATGTCACATTGGAAATTAAAATACTTAATGCGGTCTCTTGTTAAGAACATTTTTTAATAATTACCATCTAAGATAACTTAGCAAACAATAAAAGTCGTCTATATTTCCTTACATAGAACTGAAGTCAGTAATTTTGCCATCAGAGTCTATTTGCAACTTTCTCTGCACTGAAGGTGCCAAATTTCTGGGGTAAAAACCGCAACCTAACAGTTCCTACGACGCAAAAACTTTCTGGTATGTTACTATTAAAAAACTGAGGGTTGCACCAGCTTTTTAAAACATCTTTTCTTATTAGTATGAGTATAATGTTTTTACAGGCACATCTAAACTGGTAGAAAACTACTGCACTTTTACTAGGTTTTACATAGGTGTTTATTTCGTCTGTCGGTTTTCTGGACTTAAACACTGAATTTTTATTAATAAAACTAGATTGGTTTTTGATGTCAGATTTTTCAATAGTGAAGAGGAACACATTCATCTCAGTGTAATTTTGCTGTATAATTCTGAGCTGAGGCTCTTTTACATCTCAAGAATAATGATCCCTACATGTAGCTTAATTAGATGCTTACTAGTAAAACCCAAGATTTCCCTCTGTGATCTAAAGGTGAGAAATAAACAAGGCCTGATGTTCTGCTTGTTTTCAGACACTGAAGTTTATGCTCACTTATTGCAACGAAAGAAAAACAAGGAATTTTGTTCAGGAAAATCCTAAGTGTGCAATTATATTTTGTCAGCTGAGTTTACTAAATAGTTATAATTGGGTAGAAAATTTTTTCACTTTCCATTGTTCAGTGCAAATTCTGTATGTGCTGCTCATATTAGTGTGAGTTTGATTTAAATCTTATATTAGTGGTCAGTAAAAGTGGGTTTTGTGTATGGTGACTATCATGGCATGTTTAGCATAGAATTCCTGTATTACAGATGTAGAATATAGCAACTCAATGAATATTGTAAAATACTGTGAAAAGAGCAAGAGGTTAATGTAGAATCACTTTATAAATAGAAATAGAATATTGGAGAAGAACAAGCTAGGTTATTTTCAGTAAAGTGTAGTAATTGTAAGTTTAGACTTTATGAATTTGTTTTGCTATTTTTTCCTGCTGGCTGGAATGTCACTTTCCAGGTATGTGTTTTTGTCAGTCTTGGATTGTCTTATATTTACTAACATGGAAGAGATCCAATCTGATCAGGCAAAAATGCATTTTACAAAATTAATGATAGCTGAGCTTACTCAGACTGGGGCACAGTGATTGCTGAACTTTGATATACAATTAAATCTCTCCTATTCTAAGGTGAGATTACACTAAGTAAACAGCCTTGTTCTTATCCTTGTTGATTAATGATCTATATTTACACAAGCCTGATAGTTGCTTTAAAGCAGCATGTCAAAGACCATGAACCTCTAAATTGGAAATGCCTATTAAACAGTAGTGCTGTCATGAGAGGACTTTATCTCTTAGTTTTATTGCCACAACAGGGTAGACACTGATTAAATAAACAAACGGTTTTGCACTCATTGGTGAATTTTGCTAATTCTTCATTTTACAGGGCATGCTTGTAGACACGAGGCGACCCTAGCCTTTGGTAAGATGTTTGTTCCATTATAATCAAAAAATATCTGTAAGACTAGTATTTTAACCAACCTATAGGTTATTTAACCTTTGACCAGAAACTTATTACTTAGACTACTTAAATAGAATAGTACTTAGAATAGGTATGCACTTATTCCATTTTGCTTTTGTATACTATATTGTCTCATAATTTTTGCTTTAAGAGCCCTTCAGTATTTAATTTCTTGTTGAAATTATTCAGCTAATTATAAGATACTTTTCCATGTTTCTGTGGTCCTCAGTCAGTGATTGAAGTGATAGAATCTGCTGTATTTTTTGAATTTATTTAGTTTTCTGCTCTTCTAAATTATGTGCTTTCTAGCCAGTTGTGAATTGACTACTTGGAAAGCAGCACTTAGTAACTGTAGTACTTTTTAAAATGCCATTAGATTTAACCACTTATAAATTGCAAAAGCAGTTTTGTTTTTCAATAGTATTTTCTCTTTTAATTTATTGTAAGAAGTGTTATTTTTAACAGTTACTGGTTTAGTTGAGACAGTAGAGCTTTGCTGTCAGGAGTCAGAACAGGTTTTAGATAGTGAAAATATTGCAACCTCATCAGTGTCATTTCAGACATAGTTTGGGTGAGTGTTAAGTGGCTTGGACCAAAATGGTGTGAGAATAATGCAACCACACATCATGACAGTGTTTAACGCTGTGTGCAGTTTGCTAGGATCAGTGCAGTCTGGGTGTGTGGTGAATGTGAGTTACTGGTGCCTAACAAGGGCTGTACCTAGGGAGAACTTGGAGCTGGTATCTGGTGGGCTGTGGGGGACACAGGTACCAGAGTTCCCTGCATGGAAGGCTAAGGGGAGCATCACACCTCCCTAGGAACTGGTGTTTACAAAACAGCTCTTCGTATTAAAGTTTTTTGTAGAACAGTCTGAATTTTCTTGATGAAAAGATAAACCTGTGTGATATTTTTATTTGCCTTCAAGCTTATCCTTGTTTGGATTGCATTTGCAGGCTTTTCTCCACAACCAGGAGGGCCTAACATTTTTTTTTTTCTTTAGAGAAATGAGTTTCGTGTAGTTGCTTGTCTGCTTTATAAAAATACAAATGCTTTGTATAAACATAAATATGTAGGGATTTGTAATAAAGTTAGATTTGCTGGCAGATACTAACCTTTGTATTGAAAACTATCAGCCAGCTTCCTCAATGATGCTGTCAGGAGAGGAATCTGATTAGAATGGCTTCAACATAAATGGTTTCATGGGTCATTATTATTTAAATAAACTGTTAGGTTTTTTAGAAGGCTGGAGGACTGAAGTCCTGAATAATTTGGCTACCACCCAGAAATAACCAAATAGCTAATTAAATTACTGTAATGTTGTTTTTTATTTACCCTCAAGTAATAAGTATCAGAGCTGGGATTTGATAGTAGAAAATTTCTAATAATTTAGACACTAGGGAAATACTTTTTTCTAAATAAAATATAGTCATCCCTAATACTAATTAGCACAAATTTAATTATTAACTCAAAGTCTATGGACCACTTACGTTAATGACAGTTGTTAAATACTTTAAATAGAATGGTGAATTCTGAGGAAGAAGCAGCTGTTGTCTTGAGCCACTTCTAACTGAGGACTGAAAATGCGAGCAGGTAAGGATGCTTTGTGTTTGATTTCTTGTACATATTTTATAGTTAGAACTAGGTGCAAATGATAGAAGTTATTTCTGTCCTATATAAATCCTTAATGCTCCATCGTCACCTTTTTGAATTCATGATTATGGCTGATTTTCAAAGTGGTGTTATTTTTTTATTTTAAATTCAAGGACTTTTACAAAAAGTTGTAATGACAGTGGTAAATATGCTGTAGCTGAAGATTCAACAGCCTTTTTCAGTGGTGTTCCAGGTTGCATTTTGAATTCTTGGCTACAAATTAAGCATTACCTAAGGGGATCTAGAACATCTACTGCTTCAAGGGTTGAAATGCTGCTGGTGGCAGTATCATGATTCACAGAAAGGCAAGAGTGCCAGCTCCTAGCTCTTACAGGTTTGTCTCAGGGTGGTGCTGCTCTTTCCAGGCCCAGTAAGAACCCTGAGCTGCTGCTTCTCCTGGGAGACAGTGTGTCACCTCTGCTCATAAACAGGGAGGGCAGTAATCTGTCCTCTGTTTTGGCTAGCCCAAGTTTTGTGCTGATGCTGATGCATGTGCTCTTCAAAATGTGTTTTCTTCAGGAGACAGGTTAGATGGGGCTGACTTCTGCAACAAGTGAAAGACTGGTGTGTGTGTCTATGCAAAGCTGCCGAGTTATCCTTGTATGGATTATGGTGCCAGTGGAAATTCTTACCAAGAATTTCACTTTGTATTCAGTTAAAATTTTCCCAGTAAATAATTCTCATCCTTTGCAATTTTAAAGCATGATTATTCACTTTTTTTTAGCAACGGTGATTAATGAGATGGCGAATCATACTCTCAATTTCTTTTTGCAGTTGAAAGTGAGGCGAAGGCAAAAACCAAAGTCCGCTTTGAGGAGATCTTCAGACGCCATGCTGGCCTAGCAGATGCAAAGAAATCAAGGAGAAAGAAGTTTGACTCTCAAGAGAGTATTGTGGTGAGTTACAAAGCATGCAGGCTTTGTTTGGTTACCTTCCTTAGCAGAAAAAAGATCAGGAAAACATACTGCAGAAAGGAGATGTAAGCATTAAAAAAAATGAAGTATGAAGTATGTTTCTGCATGTCCCCCTTGGTTTTGGTGTGGCTTTTATTTTCTTCTTTGTGTAACAGCAAAGCATCATTGTAAATTGAAGATATGCCAAAATGATGTAGACTATAATGGTGGTGAAAAGAAAGTGTCACATGCAGGCATGCACTTGTTTAATGTCCACCAGTACTTGCTTTTCCATACCCCTTTTCATAAAATTTTTCAAATTCAGTACTGACTTTACTGGGAGTTAATGAGATGTTTGAGAGCTAGTAGAATTATGTCTGTGAAAGTATTTAATTTTGAAAGTACTACATCTGTGTAATACAGGTATATCTGTCTAATACAGCTGTGAATTGAAAACTGATAATAAAATATTAGAGATAGTAATTGGTGGTTCCATTTTCTACTTTTTTTAAATCTCAGTAATCAGTGAATTTCTGCATATTCTGAGCTTTGTGTCTTGAGTGGTTCCTTGTTCACATGTCAATTTTTTTTTAAAGATTTTGACCTTAGCTTGTGACTTGCAGGTTAGGAAGGATTCTATCACCCCAACTTTATAGTTAGATGACGCTTTTGTTTGTGGCATATCTGTCTCTAAAGGAGCCTCAGAAATCCCTTTGAGTTATGGTTCATACTGTAGTCTTTTTCCTGAAGAGGAGAATAAAAGTTCAGTGTGAACTTGTTCTATATATACCTGATTATTGACTTAGAAGATTTGGAATTTGGAAAGAAAGTAAATAGTTTAGAAGACAAATATTCTGGTTTTTTATTTTCCTCCATAGGTTTTATATTTTTAGTCATTTTTCTTACAATTGTGTCCAATCAGATTCTGGAAATGAATGTTCCTTCATTAATACTAATTTAAGACAAATGGGTGGTATTTCATGTAATATCATAAATGTTACATGTAGTTATATATATTAAATATATTCTGAATAAATACATTAAACTTAGTATTGCTAAATATTTGGTCTTAGTTTGACAATTTGAAGTTGAATTTTGTATGGATTTCAAAAAAAAATTTATATTCCTTGATGTATATGTTATTTAGTCAATAGTCTATAGAAAGAATCAACTTGATGTTAAAAAATAGGTGGTTTTTTTTCCCTTATTTACTAGTATGTATGTAAATAAAATACTAAGTTCTCCCTCAGTTAAGTTTACTTTTTTATGAAATGTGAATTTTTAATTCTGTAATATGTAAGTATTTTTGAACACATATGTTCATATGCAACTACATATTACTCATAAATATTTTAAACTCTCTTTGGTTTTAGAATTGGTTTCCATTCCATAAGTCTCTGATGTGAAACACTAGTGTTTTGGAGTTATGTAGAAACATTTAAAATCACAGTGACCTGAATCAAAACTCATTGGTATGCAAGAAAATTAAGAAGCATTTCTAGGATCAGTGTCGAAATTCAAATTTCTGGCTTTGTTGAAGCTATAAATGTTACAAATGAAAACACTTAAAAATTAAGGATATGAGGAAAGCTTGTATTGAAACCCATTACTGACCATTTGGAGTATTTCCTTAAAGCGTGACAAAGTTGCAGGAGCTCAGGTTGGTATTTTCTGTGCTGGTTGCGTTCAAGTAGAAATTTCTGTAAAAGCTTCAGCAAATAAACAGTCATTTCTCTGTGAAAAATAAATGTGTGTGGGAGTGGAAGAGTAGGTAGATGGACGAGGTTGGCTGGTTTTGTTCCCATTTTCTTCAGTTCATATGATTTAACTGTACAGAGTTTCACATATCTTGAAATAATGTGAAATTTGTCAGTGATGGTTTGCTTCATGTCGTGCACTTGCCATAAATGGTCTCCTAGCTTTGATCAAAAACAGGTCATGGTTCAGAGCCTATTTCCACTTGAAATGTTCCAGTTTGTTTCCTTCCTTTGTCTTTGCTCTAGCCTCTCTTAGAGATTAATAAGACTTTTCCCCTTATCATCCACTGTTTCTTTGAAACCTGAGTTCTGGAGCTGCAGGGGGTTGTTCTGGTTTTAAATGACAGAAGTGAGGATAAGGAGAGTGCCTGCCTGCCTGCCTGCCTGCCGGATTTGCTTTGTGTGCCTATTGCCTGGAGAGCCTGCCTGGACAACAGGAAAGCAGTCTGCTTGGAAGAGGAAAGATTGATGTCTGTAGGGCAGGATGAGTTTAAAGCCACAACTGGTAGGACTGAAGAGCTTGTAATGGAGATGGAAATATGCATCAGCTGTGGCCAATGAAAGTTCTGCTTTGCTGTTCAGTAAATAGCTGCTAGAGCACTGGGTGTGAAGTCTGAAGGCACTGTGGAAAAAAAAAGCAATTGAGACACAGTCAGAATGTGAACTTGCTAATATCTCTTCTAGGGAAGCAACCATATTTATTTTTTACCATTTGTGCCTCCTATTACAACTTGTTTGAATGAGGCAAGCCACAGATCAGACAAAGTCCAGGTACATTAATCTGTCTAAAGTCATCATGAAAATGAATTAATTTATTTTGTTCAATCTAAATTCTGTGGTTGAAAAGAGGATGTTTAAAAACTTTCTACCAAATGAAAAGGTCAGATCACTGTATGGAGGCAGAAATTTCTTTCTTAGACTGTAATCTGATCAGGTTACAATATTGGAAGGGACAGGCATTGGTAACTTGGGTTTTGTGTTCAAGGCAGGGCTGCAGCAGATTTATCTGGCTTGTAGCCTGAAAGGCACTGAATAATTGTTGAGATTTCCACTGGATTTTATACCTTTGTTTCTTCTGCATAAAATAGGAGAACTGATAGTAGTTGACTGTATAATTGATCTATACATTTTCTCAATGTTTTCTGTTAAAATTTGGTGAAAAAATTCCAAGCCCATCATCTTATCTGTAACTTAAAGCTCTTCTAGGTTTGAGTGTCTATATTTTATAGCCTTACACAAGCAATGGCAAGTAAAACTGTTTTCCTAGTACATTAAAATTTTCTTAAACATCCCACCCAACAAGCCATCATCACAAGTACATTCAGTAACAATTCAACTGTAGGTTAATGGTCTTTTACAACCAGTACCTATCAGCGCTTCCGTGGGCTGGCAGTGTCCATCCCAAATTTTTCAAGGTGTGCCTGTGTTATGATGGGCAGAAATTCAGGTACCTCTGTAAATCAGGTTACACATGTTTCCAAACACCCGTGACAAACTCACTCTATGCAATGCCAGTTTCCACTCATGAGTGTTTGAGAAGTCCTTTTGAAAAGGTGTAAGTCCTTTGAAAAGGCGTTGGCCCTAACAGCTCTGGGGCACGAATGGCAGTGATGTGACCTGTGATTGACTAATTGTAGTGTGAGCCTTGAGTGTCAGCCCATGTGTGTGCACCTTGGCTGTCACCCATCCCCTGCTCCTCTCAAGCCAGTAGTGCAAGCAAGGCTGTTTCCAAGGGGGAGTGCTTCCTCTGCCCTGGGGTAATGTGGCCACAGAGCTGTGAAACAAAGCCTTCTTATTTGTTCCATATTTTAAGGTGAGGAAGCCAGGTTCAGGTGAGCAGCCCTCTGGAGTTACTCCAGGGACAGGCCTGTCTTACTGAGCTGCTTTTCCAGCCCAACTCCTTTCTCTAATTCAGTTCAGTGTGTATGTATTGATGATTGTTCTTACTTGGTATCTCTTAGTCCTGTGTTTCAGAGAATCTATACCAGTATTCCCACCTCTTCCAGAATCCTAATCTGAAGGTTTTTATCAATCTCTTGGCTTTTACTTCTTTGTTTTGTAACTTCTTTGCATCTTTCCTCACTGTTTAATTATGTCATGTAATTGCAGCATGTGGGAAAGATGGCCTGAATTGAGATCATACAGGCTATTTATCTGAGGAATTTATGTTTGAACTGCTGAAGCAGCTTTGTACCTGCAGTATCCATTAATGTTCCTGAAATTTGCTGTAGTTTGAGATTGTGGTTTATTTTCATTATGGGGAAATGGCCTCAAGTTGTACCATAGGAGGTTTAAATACTTCAAAAAGCTTTTCCTTTGGAAGGATAGTCAGACACTGGCTGCCCAAGGAAGTGGTGGAGATACCATCCCTAGAACTGTTGAAAAGGCATGTGGATGTGGCACTTGGGGGATATGGTTTAGTGGTGTTGGATTAATGGTTGAACTTGATGATTTTAGAAGTCTTTTCCAACCTAAGTGGCTCTATGAATCTATGATTTTTTGTTTATAGGCAGTAATAAATAACAGGTTCTAGTAAGTATTTCAAGCCATTTTTTGCATCAGGTAGATTTCTTTAAGGAGATTATTCTTGAGTATCAGAGTTATTTTAGAAACTCTTGACCAGGTCATAGATGAGGGCTTTTTGTTTAGGATTTCTCAAATAATTCTGCTACTTGCACTTAGTGGATGGGTGTCTTATCAAAGACAAAAATCAGCAAGACCTTAGTTATTGGCCACAGTTGGGTTTTAATTGTTAGTGTGTTTTAATCTTCATTTCTCCTACTTTACAGTTAAAGTTATTCATAGAAATAAAGGTAAGGAAGTGAAGGGTCTATTAGGAACATTATTCTGTTTTGGAGGTTTTTTTAGTTTATACAAAGCTTACTCTTTAATACTTCTATTTTGCTTATTCTGTTCTGTTTTTCAAGTTATTTCTATTAAATTTTCCACATCCTCTTGAATCATTGACTTACAAATAAATGTGATGTTAGTAGTCTCTTTAATCATGTATAAGATGAAAATTAAAGGACAGTTTTTTCACACTTACTACACGTATTGTTCCTGTTTACAAATGTTTGAGACAAACATGGTTCTGTTACTGGGAGTTGTATCCTGACTAGAAGGGAATAATGTCTTTGTTTATTGAGGAAGAAGGTCTTGGCAAATAAAACTTTGTAGGCAGATATGTATATTTTCTCCAAACTTTTAAATTTGCTTTTGTTGTGTTTTAAAGCCCTTTCTAATTTTTCATGTTGAAGCTCTAAGAGAGTTTTCTGTAAGACAACAGCATAAATGAACCTCAGTGTCTTTATAGAAGTTACATCAAAGAACAGAGATCTCTGTGTTGACCTTACAGAATTAGACCTCAGTTACTTGCTACATTCTCTGGCATTATCATAGAATCATAGTTTGGATTGAAAGGAATTTTAAAGGTGATCTAACCCAAGTGCCTTGCCATGATCAGGAACATCTTGACCTACATCAGGATGCTCAGAGCTCCTTCCAACCTGGCCTTGAACATATCCAAGGAGGCAGGGAAGTGGCATTATAACCTTTTGTATCCAGAAATAGAAACTTGAAGGAGAGAGGAAAGTTTACAGTGAATTTTCTATAAAACCATCAAGAAGTGCTTAAACAAACACATTAGCTGAAATTTTGTTCTGACAAGCAGCTTTCAGTGGAAGAGACTGCAAACAATTGAGCCTGAAATCTCTAACTTGAAAATCTCTGAAGTCTCTAACTTGGATTTTCAGTGGATGAAAGTATTTGTTCTTGTAGTGCATTTAGTCTTGTCCTCTGCAGTGTAAAACACTGGTATCTGTTTATTGAGTAGACTTGTTGGTTTCCTTTTTTAACCGGCTATGTGTAAAAGTCATGTGAAAATTTACTGTAACATTGAGGATGAGGTGCCCAAATACCAAACATTTTTTTCAGTGTGAATTTTCTGTTGACTTTCAATCTGTTGCTTGTCAAATTGAAACAAGAAAATAACTAGATCTTTGATTTAATTTTACTTTGAGAAATGTTGCTGAAGGAATAATGAAGTGCAGTGTTTATCCTTGGAATATGATTTTTAGTACAAATGTTTTATGTTCTTTTCATTTATAGCTTGATACCTTTAGAAATAATATTGATCTATCTAAGGAATGTGTGAATGATGAAGCAATTATAAACAATACATATAATCCTGAAGAAGAGAGCCCAAGATTTACAAAAAATAAATTGCGAGAGAAAGCATCAATTGCAAAGAAAATAAACAATGATGTTGTTAGTGGAGAAGAGAACAAGCAGCTAAAGTTGAACAGGAAGAAAAAGAAGTCACTGTTACAAGAACAATTTAATGAGGAGGAAGATTTATATGAAGCTAAATTGGAGAGTTTTGAAGAAAAAACTAATGATTTTCCAAAGAAGAAAACAAAAAGTAAATCACAAACAGATGTACCTGATCAAGAAGGTGATAGAAAGATCAAAAATTTCTTGACTGAAGTGAGAAGAGTAACTGAATTAGAAGAGGAAGAGCAGCTTATTCAAGCCTATCAGCTGCATGTGGCTGAGGAAGAGGCAAATGCAATTAAAACGAAAATGAGAAAGAAACTTAAAGAACAGATGTCTGAATCTACCTCCACTGTTCAAAGGCATGAAGTAGCATTGAATAATGAAGTGGGCAAAAAGAAGAAAAAGAAGAAAGAGCGAGGAATTGTAACTGAAGCTGAAACAAGGTAACGTGGCAAACCGTACATGTGTGTCTGTGAATCGTATACAAAATGTTTCATTTTAAGATAGGCAGCAGCTTTCTGATAAATTGTTCATATTTTCTAAGTGATTGACTGGTACAAAGAAGCAGTACTAAATCTTTTCTCAAAAGGCTGTCATGATTAATATTTAGCTCATAGATTCTTTTTAACATTTTAAAAAATATTCTTCATTGCTATTTGATGTTTGTTTACTGTGGAATTCACTCTTAACTAAATTAAGATAGTTTTGTGCATGATTTTTTTTATAGTGATAAGTGATGGCCCTGATCCAGCAAAAAAGTATTTGTTTACCTCTTCACATAAATGGTTCTGCAGTTCTCTGGAAATTAGGGGAAAAGGAAGAGGGCAGAACACTGAAAAAGGCAAGACACTAATGGGGCTTGGGGCTGTTATGTTTTCAAGATACACAGATGATGAGTTGGAGAATTTCAAGCGGATTAGAAATGGCAATGAGCAATTGTATCAATATATGCAGTGGACTGCAGTTGCTGACAGTGATCCATTACCTTGCAGTGCAATGTCCCTTTCTGAGCTGCAGCATCATCATCCAGAAGCAAGTGGCAATGAAAGTCACTCACCTGAAAGACTATTTACATCAGAAGGACAGAAACTGGAGGCAAGCATTGAAAAGCAGAAACCTAAAACCAAGAAGGTTAAGAAGAAAAGCAGAAAAGGTCTGCCAACAAAATGTTATAATACTGTACTACTTAGCTGCAATTTTTTTGTGCTGCTACAGAAATACTTGTCCATAGTAGTAGCACAGAAGTGATTGAGCTGTTTGAGTTACTTATATTTCTTAAGTTAATTAGTTGTACCTCTGTTCTTCCAATTCTGAGGCTCATTTGTGAGTATATTTATTTGATAAATCAATCTAGATTATTGAAAATTTGTTTAGTATAAGTAGTTTTGAGTTGAGACAGAAGTTACCATGTTCCACTAGTGACAGTTTGTTTACTTTGCTCCAATTTCTAGAAGAAACCACAGACATTGCTCCAGAAAATGATGAGGAAATGAAGAATTCAGAAATTTTAACTCAGTCTAAATTTGGTTTTGGCGATGATCTTGTTTTGGGAGTTTATATCCATCGATCGGATCAACTTAAAATTGATCACTTTGTATCTCATCCTGTGGTCAAAATCCATATTGTTGATCAGAGAAGTGGCTTGTATGTGAAGAAGGATTATAGGTAACATTTAATAAACTGTTATTATTATTACTGATTGCAATTACTAGGTATACTCTTCCCTACAAATTAAATAAGAAAATGAAAACAAGCGGGTGTTTTAAGCTTGTGTAGTTGTTCATTAGTTTCTGCATCTATGATAATGTGTGTATATATGCATACCATAAATGAGGGTGATATTTTACGTTTCCTTTTGGCACTTCTAAATGCTCTGCACTGCTGTATTGCTCTTGAGGATCCCCAGGGCAGTGGTCACACCACCAGCCTGACAGAGTTCAAGAAGCATTTGGACAATGCTCTCAGGCACATGGTGCGACTCTTGGGGATGGGGCTGTGCAGGGCGAGGAGTTGGACTTGATGATCAGCATATTCCATGAATCTGTGATATTTCCAACATAGTCCATTCTGTATTCTTCCCAGAGGCAAAATTTCTTAAGTGCCAAAAACATGTAAAAGCCAGGAACATGTGATCAAAATTCTTGTAGTATAAATAGCATCTGCCTTTTATATTAAGAACTTTAACAATCTTTAAATGAAGTCTAGTTCTTTATATTTTTAATTACTTCAGTTGCTTATTTCCACTGTCATTATCCATAATTTTCCTGAAACCAGGTTTTTCTGGGGCTTAAACAGTAGACTCCACCATGATCATCATGCATTAATTTGCTAACAGTAACTTAATTGTTGGGATTTTCAACTTCAGACTGTAATTTTTCTATATAGATTGCAAATTGTCTTAAATTGTCAGTGGGTTTTGAAAATTTTTCTAGAATCGGGCAAATAGTATCTTACATGTTTCTTAGCTTTCAGTAGTTGAAAATATTGTTTTGTTCAAGGTTGCTTTTTAAATGCTCTAACAATTGTATTCCTTTGGAAATCTTCTAACAGCATGAAGGAAGATTCTTCTTATGAACAAGGAGAAGTAGAGCACATTCTTCCTGTAATGACACAACCATGTGATTTTAGAAAGTCTAAATCAACAATTCCAGAGTGGGAAGAGCAAGTAATATTTAATGAACGTTTTACTTATTTTATTCAAAACACTGAGGAAAACCCTCAGGTTATCCTGTTTTTTGAGGTAAGATGAAATATTTTGCACCCAATTTATTCACATTCTTCTTCTTTGTTTGTTTCTTCATCAGTATCTATTTGACTTAATTGGGTATTTTATTTCAGTTAAATTGGGTTAATACCATAGCTTTAAGGTACAAAGTCAAGTCAAGATACCAAAAGTGGGTTTTTTTATAGGAAAGGATCCTGTTTTAATTGTAAGAAGGAGCACAAAGCTTTCTTATAAAATCAGCTTTCAAACTTCTGGAGAAGGCTGGTAAGATATGGTGGATATCACTCTTTTCACATTCTTGAAATCTGAAAAGAGTTTTTAAGTACAAGAAACTCAAAGGTAGAATTTGTCTGCGTGTAGTGGCACCTCATTACCAATGAACAAACCCTTGCATTATTTCCATTAACATTTTACACATCCACCTCTCCTGTCCCAGTTTTAATAAAGTAATTGTTAATTTGTCCTCCAATACAATTATGTTAAAGGAAAAATTTTAGGTTATGTATTCAACATAATTTTTAGCTTAGGCATTTCAATATTTGTACAGAGAGATTCTGTGCAATTAACATAAAAATGGAAACCTCATGCAATAAATATTTTTTGTTCCTTGTTTTTTGTCCTCTTTCAAATAGGTTTGACTATCATTTATTGCCATATTGAATTACAATTAATTGAATATAATTTATTGCCATATGTTTCTTAATGTTTTGTGATGCTTGTAAATGAACATGTTTATAGAATTAAGAATCCTTAATTGCTTAACACAAAACTAATTACATTTGTATGTGAAGATTCTTCATGGAAATAATACTGGAACCAAAAGTAGGATTCCACTGAAAAAACGCTTTTTGACTTTAGTGTGGTTTATGCAATACAAGTTTTAAAAAAGTATTATTCTAAGGGTTTTTTGCATACCACATAAACTTCCAGGAGTAGCAAAATATGGGAAAATTCAGGTCCCTGACAGAAAAATGAAGACTCATAGGCATCCCTGTAAGTGTTCAAAGCCAGGTTGGATGGGGCTTTGACCAGCCTCATCTAGTGAAAGATGTCCAAGCCTATGGCTCAGAACTCTGTGATCTTTGAAGGCTTCTTCCAACCCTAATTGTTCTATGACTGATTCAATGACAAAACTGATAAAACTAGGAAAGAAAAACTAACTTTTTGACTGCCATTTTATATCTAGATTAATATGCAGCTGTTTGTTGCTGTCAGATTTGTGATCTAAATGATTTCTGAATTATTAAGAACATATTCTTAATTAACACAATAACACATTATTTTTTCTCTTATTGAGATATAAGGAGAACAATAATAAGTTTTTTTAAGACTAGACTTCTTTTTTTAATGGAGGTTATAAATAGTCATCATGCATAAGGACTTTTATTTCTAATTTTATACTTGTGTGGAAGAAACACTGTTTTTATAATTTCTTAAAATTTAAATCTGTTTAATTTAGTGAATTGATCAAGCATGTTTTCAGTAGTTGGTTTTTTTTTTTTTTTTTTTTACCATAATGTATACATTCATTAGAAATACACTTATATTCCTGCTGATACTTCTAGGTTCTTGATTCTCCAGTTATGCATGAAGTGAGAGCCAGCTCTGATGTAAAAATTCAGGAAGGTCGTTACCGAAAAATTTGTTGGGCATTTCTAAAGGTACTGAAATATTTAAATGAAGAAAAAAATTCATAAATCCTTTTATCTGAAAATCTCTAACAGTACTAAGGAGGAAAGCATTTAAAAATATTTTCAGCAACAGAGATGGAAGAAAAAAAATCCTTGTTTGCTTGGCTGTTCTTTTCCTCTTCTTCCACTCCATGAAGTCAACACAGTAACAGGCTTGACACTAATGTATATGTAGAATGTCTAAATTTTTTTTTGTTTGTTCATAAAGTACAGAAGGTTGTTTTCTTTGCGTTTATGTGATTGTGAAGAAAATGGCAAATCCACTAATTTCTGTACCTCAGCTGTTCTGTATTCTAGTGACATTTTCATTTGTCCAGTCTTTGAAAACACTCCCTTAATTATAGAATGCTTTTCATTTTCAGCTGCAGAGTTTGAAATGCTGTGGCAATTGAGATACAAATGTGCCAAATGTGAGATATGGGTAATTCAGCCAGCACATGTGTACCTTTCTACACTTTAAAGAGAAACTTGAATGTGTCAGTTCTTTGAGAGCTGACAAACTTCAGTTTCCCTGAGGATTGTTTATTTACACCTACCCCTGTGTGTGATAGTCATTGGCAATCATTGAGCAGTCCACAACATAGAGGAAATGTGAGAAATACAGGAACAGATAATGGACTGCAAGTCTAGGTGAAGGGATAGGGGCCTCCATAGCAAGTCTACACAGAGATTCTTCTGAGCTCTGCCCAAGATAAATCTACTGGAATCAGGGATCTGCTATCCCATGTCTGTCGGCAGAGCTCTGGTAGGAGCTATACATCCAGGCATTCAGTACAGCCTACTCCTGAACAGAGGGAAGACCAAATTTTCAGCTCATAAATATGAATAAAATTGTTGCCCGTTCTTCATTCTTTCTGCATCTGCCTGCATTATTCTTTTATCTGTATGAGTCAAAGTAGAAATGTCTCAGTTCAACACTGATCAGTGTTAATGGCAGTAGGTACTTCTGCTATTCTTCAGTTCAGTAGAGATGACTCTGTCCCCTCTGAAGTTGGAGAGGTTACTACATTGCTTTATCTTCTGCTCTGAACCAAACTTTACCCAATGCCCTTCATTGCAGCATTCAAAGAAGACAGATTTGGAAAAAGCTGGTTTTGGATTGGCATTCCTTAGAGATTTGGTTGATTTTAGCAAGTAGTAGTTTAAAAAAAAGGAAAACAGATACTGCAGAGGTCTTCCCACTTTTGAGATGTTACTGCTGTGAAGCATCTTTTGAAACTAGGCTGCCATCTAAGATTTAGTCTTCATGATTTGATTCTGAGGGGATGAAATACATGCTTAGTTCATCATCACTTTTAGAGTTAACATGTTCCTGCAATAGGAGGTGGATTTTAAGAGTTTATACTGTTAGGTAAGATATTAGCAATTATCAATTACTTTTGTGTTCATCTTTCTTCCTCTTTCCTCTTTTTATCACCCTTCCAGCTTGTAGGTGCAAATGGAATTCTAAATGTTGGTGGAAAACTTCGTCTGCAATTGTATTACCCACCTTCAAGGACCAAGTCACATTCAAATGTAGTTGAGGTTTATGACTGGTGGGCAAAATGTCCTAGAAATCGTTACCCATCAACTTTATATGTATCCGTAAAAGGCCTGAAACTGCCAGATCATGTAAGTTAAATATATAATATATAAATATATTTACAAATACGCAGACTATTCTGTAGGAACTAGTACCTAGGTAGAGCATGTGAGTCTGTGTTTGTAGGCATGTATATAAAAGCTGTGCTTACATGCAGTATATAAAATACATAATAAGAATGTTACATCTCAAGATAGGTGTTTGAAACTCAGCCCTTCATAGGTATCTTTGAAAAATAGGCATACTTTTCTACCTACAACTTTTAATATTTTGCCACTGGCAGTCTGAAAACTTTCAGAGTACTTTCTTGAAGATTAATGTTCCTTCTTATTAGCAGAAATGCCATTTTTAAGTCACTGAACTCATGCAGGTATAAAAATTCTTTGAGAAAATATGCAAGTTACTTAACTTTGCTTCCCTGCACCCTCTAGCTGTAGTGAGCTGTATTTTTTTTCATAAATGAAACCTACTTTAAAAATAGGCTTACACTGGTTTGTGCTGAGATAGGCATTTAAGATAAATATGGCGTTTTTCTGATGCAAGTACAGTATTGTTCTATTATATAATTTCCCATTTGTATTTAGAGCTGTAATAATACTTTCTTCTGCTCATGTTTGTACTATGAAGGGTGGTCTGTGGAAGCCTGGTGAGATGTGCACCCTCTCAGTAGTACAATATAATAAAATAGTGGAGTAATTCTAATTTTCGCTGACCTTAAGAGTTACTAAAAATAGGAGATAATTGAGTATTTGAAAAAATTGTGATACCATGGATTGACAAAACTTTGGAAGCTTGAATTACTTTCTGACTCCTGGTTACTTTAAATGACATTTTGCAATGCAGTTTTCATGTATTAAGCTTTTCCAGTCTCTGTGTTCCAGATATAAAAATGCAAGACATTGAAATTAAAAGTACCTTTTAACCTTTTTAGAAATTACATTGTTCACTTTAAAAATATTTTTTCTCTGATACTCAGTTTTGTTTGCCTTAAGGTTGGTCCTTCTTTTCACTCTATGGCAGCTGTTCAACAGGAACAAAATGCAGCACTGTCTGAGCTGCAGAGAGAAGGATGTGAACTTTCTTTAGAGGAGAAAAAGGAGCCATTTAAATGGTCAAGATTGCCTGGACAGGTGAAGCATTTTTATTTGAATTTTAATTGAAAATAATTTAAATATTTACTATATTTTTATAAGTATTATGAGACAAGTAATTAATTAAAAAGTCAAACAAAGATATTAAAAAAGCATAAACTCTTATAGATAGTAGAGGAGGCTTAACCTTAGCAAATATGGTTGATTTTAGCATTTTTTTACCTGAAGAGTCAGATATTTCTATCTGTAGAATTTGCTAAGAAATTGAAAGAGTAAGAAGAAAGACAGGAAGCCAGTTCTCAGACTTCAACTTGATTAGAAATATATTTTCTTGACTTTTCTTTTTGTTTCTTGAAGACATTTTTAAGCTATGAAAAAAGAAAGAGCTTACTTTGAAGCACCACATGACTGCTGTGAATATTGCCCTTTACCTTAAACTTTGAATTTAGTTTTGGAGAAAAAGCCATTGGGTCAAAAAGAGGTGATAAGTTGGGAGAAAGGAAAGGGGTCTAAAATACCATTTAAATTTTTTGAGATTTTTCATCTCTAGTTCTATCCTTAAAAGTCAGATATTTAAGTACAGATGAGGAATGTTAAAATTATTTGGTAGAAGACCAAAGGTTTGAGTGCCTGTGGTTGGGTTTCTGAGTTCACACTGCAGTCAGTAGGTTACTAAAAGGTATGCTTAGGCTCCTTAAGCAACCTTGATTTACAGTCTAACTCCACAGCTTACATCACTGATGCGTTATTAAGCATTTCTTAAGATTAGGGAGTTTATTTCAAGTTACATTTTTTTTAGTTTTTTTTAAATGTGCTAGTTGTTTGCAATAATGGGGCAGAAAGAGATACACATTCATGAGGCCTAGGCCTGCAAAGCTGTCTCTGTTTATAATACATTGAATTTTACTTTGGAATGCTATTAAGATGTTACTAGCCTTTTAGAGCTTCTGCATGTCAGGAGCTAAGAGTGTGTTCCACGCTTTGGATAGGTAACATTCCTACCAATTGTTCCCTGAAAAGCCAGGCTTGCCGCCTACCCAACAAGCACCTGCTTTCCCTGCGAGGTGGAGATATGGGCTGCTTCTGCATCCGCTTCTCTCACGACGGGAGAACGCTGGCAGCAGCATGTGCAGGAAGGAATGGCTACCCCATTGCTTGTAAGTTTAAATACATTTTGGCTTTTTGCTTATAATCCATGTATTTGGAAATTGAAGATTAAGGGAAGTTAATTTTTAAATTGTGCTTTTTTAGAGTTTTTGGTCTGTACTTGTGATTAGATGATTGTTCTGTGCAATAAAGAGCATTGAGGAAAATGCTCTTTCTGTGTTGATAGGGCTGGAACTGGCTTTTGGTTACATATACACAGTTTAATGGTATGAAATGACACCATTTCTGCCCGGAGGCCTAATGGAAATACTAAATCAGTTTGCAGAAGGAACGTAGTTTCTGATGACAATGTTTTAAGGCAAATAACATTTTAAGCCTCCATCTCACACACTTTTCATGTAAGTTTTTCTCCTAACCTGTCTTGAAAGTTAGATACTGGAATGTTACCATCTCCAGACATAGTACTGGAAGCTGATCTCTTCCATAATCCAGTTCAGTCGAAGTACAAACATTCCTTGTAACTCAAATTTTTGACTGCTTCATCATGGTAGCTTCAATTGCATAATTCTTAAATCTTGCATAAAAGTTTTGAGATTTAGAGAGAGCAGTATTTTTAATACGCAAAGTAAGTGTTTAAATGCAAGAAACAGTAAATCTAGATTCCTATATTACACAACCCCATAAAATTATCTCAGGGTTAAAATATTACTAAGATTGATCAATTAGTTTTCAAAATTTAAGGAAACCAAACATAATCCTAATCTGGTTCTAATAATTTCATGCAAATAAGGAGTTTCTTAAGGGGTAAGACATTTGTGACATCTGTGAACCACTAGATGGAGGTAAATGCTTGCTCTCTGTTCATATCTAGCAATTATTTCATTTTGTTGCCTCAAAATGAAAAGATAAAGAAAGTGAGTTGATTTAAACTAGCAGAAAATCAGCCTAAGATTAGACTAAACTTTGGCTCTTGTAGGTACATCTGCTTTGCTGCAAATACTTACAAAACTTTTATTTTTCTATTTCTACTTCCCTAGTGTATGAAATTCCTTCTGGACAGTACCTGAGAGAATTTTATGGTCATCTTAACATAGTATATGATCTTTGTTGGTCAAAAGACAATCAATGCCTTCTTACTGCTTCCTCTGATGGCACTGTCAGGTCAGTATGATGAGATGTTCTGGCAGATACTATCAGAAGTTGAAAAGAAAGTGGTCTAATTCAGTGTTTTATTACAAACTGTGCTATATAATGTTTTAATTAAAGATTTGGTTTCTGTGTGACTAGAATAATATAAAAATTGTGATTGGGTTAATCACTTACACTGTATTTACTATTTCTAATGTATCTGTATTTGAAACCAAAACTTTTCCAAAAGTCCTAGTGTCTAAATCTACAGTGCAGTAAAAAATGAAAGAGATTTTATTTCAAGAAGACTCTGAAACAGTTGCAATATTCTGTTCCTGGAGAAATTGCCATACTATGAATGTGGTCTTAAGTTTGCAGGAAATTGAAAGTTTAAGATTCAAGTTATGGGTGTAAATTTACCACACTGCATATATCTGTATTGGTGGTGTTCTTTTGGTTATTTACACTTAGTAAATTCAGCGTAAATTGCTGTGAATTTTGATACTGCTATTTCTTAAATTAAATCCTCTTCAATTACAGTGTGCTTCCCTACAATGTTCATGTTAAAATATTGATCTACTAATATTTAAAAACCAAAACCCTCAAAGCTGTTGGAATGGAAATAAACACATGGAAAGATCACTGGAACACTGTACAGTTTTATTGTCAGCAACTTAATTGGTTTTCATAGAGCTTTTTGGGTTTTTTAACCCTTCGCATCCCTATCTATTTCTGTTATGCAGCTCAGTAATGGTACAGGCAGTTACATAACTGAAACACTAGAAGAATTGTTAAATGATATGTTGTACATGTGGGACTGTTTTAGGGTTTTTTTGCTGCTTGTATGTGGGCATAAAAAGAGTGTGCTGAGAGTTCAGCACTTTTTTTTTTTTAATTTGAGAGTGGATTAAGTAAATTTTTTATATTGAGGTAAATATCAATTTCAGTAATTTATATTGCCTACGAATTTGTGGCAGCAAGTTTAAACTGTAGTGGTCTGCCTCCTTTTCTATGTACTATGTGCAGTCAGTGTATGAGTTATTAGTTCCTGTATTTGTTGTGAGTTGCCTTCAGCTGCTTAAAATGTCTCAGCGCCCCACTGCTTTAAAGTCACGACTAAATAAACTAAAGTTTATTATTTGGATTATTTCATACTGAGTTCTAAGGTAACATAAGGGTTATGTAAGCCTTCCCAAGGTTTAGTCCCAGACTATTTGTGAGCAGTAAATTAATTTTTATTTTGTTAGATTAAAGCCATTCTAAAAGATAGGTAAATTCCTTGTGACCTTTCTGCATAAAATTGCAGATTAATTATTGTATTCTAAAGGGTTGCAATTTTTTAATTAATTTACCTCTGAGTAAGCTTAGAATTCTTCAATAGCCACCAGATGTGGTTGCCTCACCACAAGTGGGTGCCACTAAAGCAATTCAATAGCAGTTCGTAACTGAATACTGTGTGTAATGTGCTGCTCACCTGTATTTAGTGATCTGGGTACTGTTTTATTCTTTGTAGACTCGTCTTTGGGGAAGGCTCACTAATAAAATGCATACCATTGAATAGAAAACACTAACAAAAGTTTGATCTTACAGCTATGGTTCACAAAGGATAGGAAATAGATTAATAGTAAGAAGTGAATTTATGGGATATAAACATCCCTGAGATCGTGATCACTGTGTGGCTGGTAATCATTATTCTAAATTTTTCTGGAATTTTATTTATATTTATTGGCCCTAAGTGTTTCTTTATGGCTTTTCTTGTTCTAATATTATTTTAAGTGAATGATACCCCAGAAGAGGTTTGGTTATATATTTGTTTATAACTCCTGAAAGAAAGAAACCAATTCATTTCATGGAATTCTCTATGAGTATTTTAAAATGAGAAATGTATCCATTAAGTGAGTAAGTAGTCATTAATTTGCTTTGAAGACCAAATACTGTATAAAGTAGTACATTTTTCTTAATTCTTTTTAGAAAGTACCATAACAAAGGATTAAATAGAGGTGGAACAAATTGGTGGGATAAACAGGTATTGCTAAGTGTTTGCAAGCATTTGCCGCTAGAACCAGTAGTCCAAACTATGGGCATCAGTTACACCTGTGTGTGTGACTGCTTTATACAGTAGAAGTTCTAACTTTGCTTCCTTTTAGAATGTGGAAAATAGAGATGAAGGCAGCATCTGCAGTGAGAGTTTTCCCTCATCCTTCATTTGTCTACACTGCCAAGTACCACCCAGTTGCTGACTCGTTGGTCGTGACAGGATGTTACGACTCAGTGATTAGAATCTGGGATGCAAATGTGAAAGAAATCCATGGGCAACTGCTACAGGAGCTTGATGGCCATAAAAGTTTCATCAACACACTTTGTTTTGATGCAGAAGGTATGTAGTTAATATTGCTTTTACAAATAGTTGTCTTTCCAATTGAAGACCAGCTTGAGTGTTACTGGCTTTCTTTACTTCATGGAGGCAGTTTCTTCTTAGGAAGAATTTCTTCTTAGGAAGAAATTATTTACTGGGAGAGTGCTGAGACACTGGGACAGGAGAAATTGTGGATGCCCCATCCCTGAAGGTGTTCAAGGCCATATTGGTCTGGGCTTTCTTCTAGTGAAAGGTGTCCCTCCCCATTTCAGGGAGGTCAGAACTAGGTGATTTTTAAGGTCCCTTTCAAGCCAAACCAATTTATGACTATTTGATAAAGAAAATGCGGAGATTGTGAGAATTTTAGCTCTAGAATGAAGAAGTTGAAGGGTGATGAATTTTCAGTATTGACAGAGAATAGGAAACATGGAGAGAAAAGGACAGAGGTTTGACCATTGTGAGTCATGTTAACTGGTAGGATGACAGCTGAAAGTGAATGGTGTACTGATATGTACTAGTGGAGGGAGAGTTGAAGATGGGTTAAAATTAAAGTTTGACCTTTTTTCTAGTATTAGTGACATCATTAATAGGTGGTTTAGTCACTGGAGTAGGTACTACAAAGTGGAAAGCTCTATTTTTATAAAGAATAAATATTGGAAAACACTATTTGTTCTAGTTCAAGATTCTCTTAGTGAATGTATAAGTAAGCATTGAGCTATTATGTGAAGCTCGTTGAGCTGCAAATGCTCACTTTTTGCTGGTTTTAGAATGTGAATAAAAATGAAAAAATTAAAAAATATGTTCTGCATCTCAGTATTTAATGTATATGCTAAATCTAGATTAATGGTATCAGCTTATATCATGCAATATGAGCAAAATGCATTTGCAATGAGTATATTATGGCAAAAGAGATGGAAGAATTGGTATTTTCCTATTCACAAAAATGAGAGAACAAAAGGTTGTTTCTTGTTTTCTGTATTATTGTTTGGTGGGTGGTCTTTTACTTATAAGACATTATTTCTCAGGACACCACATGTTCTCAGGAGATAGTTCAGGACTGATAATAGTTTGGGATACACCTGTTAAAGGAAGTTCTCCACACCTTTTTCAACACTGGAAGGTCAATAAGGTAAACAGGATTCTTAACTAGTATTGTTTTTATGTGAACTGTTCCAAATCTAGTAATCTGATTTGAATTTTTAATACATAACCTTTTTGCTTTTTTAATACATAACCTTTTGTTTAACTGCAGAGGTGTATTTTCTTTAAAAACTGGTATAGAAGAACTGATACAATGTGCAGTGATTCACTGACTTTTTAAAAATTATTTTGCAACTTAATTGGGCTGGGCACTGGAACAGGCTGCCCAGGCAAGTGATCATACCACCAAGCTTGAGAAAATTTAAGAAATATTTGGACTCTCAAGGCATTTGGTGTAATTCATGGGGCTGTCCTGTGCTGGGCCAGGAGTTCGTCTTTGATGTTCATAGTGGGGCTCTTGCAACTAAGGATATTCTAGGATTCTGTGGTTCTGTCATTTTTTTCTATATAAAACATGAAAAAACTTGAGGTTTGAAAATACTTGAGGTTTGATAGCACTGTTCTAACAGGTAAATGCTTTGCTCTCTAGAGACAAAAGTAAAACAGACCACAGGCTTAAAAAACCACATTTGTTCATATCTTAGAGCCCCAATGTTCAGTCAAAATTTCTGCCATCAGCTTATTTTTTTTAGAAATTGAGAAATTAAAAAATTCAGTCCCAACAGAATCTGCCTCATGGTTGTAAAAAGTTGATGTCTAGGATGTAATGCCTTAATATAGGAACAAACTTTTTAACCAAATAAAATGAATTGAGGAGAAAAGTAGTAATGCAAGAGAAAAATGAGCAATAAAGTGTAAAAACATGAGTTTTAAAACACAAAGTTATGTAATTTTCTTTATTTTTCCATCCTTCTGTAGGAAATAAAAGAAAATGATATTAAAGGAACACCAGTAAATCATTTGGAAGTGCATCCAAATGGAAGGCGTTTATTAATCCATGCCAAAGACAGTACCCTGAGAATTATGGATCTCAGAATGTTGGTATTTTTGGTGATAAATGTTTATTTCCTTTATGTTTTAAAATTTACATGGAGAAATAAAATACCATAATGGTATTAGTTGTGTAGCTGGGGAGAAAAAAGACGTCCTAATAATCGAGGATAGAAACGTTATGGTTAGGAAATTATTTCGATACACTGCTGTGTTACAGACCTTTTGGGTGATATTGAGTAAGTCTTTTGGAGTAGATTATCTAAAATATCCTAGATTACTTGGGAGCCTAAAGTGCCATGAAGAATACAATGTTAGTCTTCTAAAGATTGAAATCGCTTTTGAAATGCAATCTGGGCATGAAAAGAACTTGGAAGTGGTAATATTTGTGTGTTAGTTTTGCATTTTTGAGACTCTGGGAAGGATATTTTGATGATGAAATGGATATTATTATCATCATAAATACTAAAAAATGCAGTGATGTACCTATTATGGTTTATTAAGCAGGCTGTGAGGTAGTTTTGCAGTTTCTGATGATTTTTTTCCTTCTTCATTGGTATAAGCATGATTTTTTTAATAATAAAAATAACAAGCAAGGCGATTATAGACTCACTTGAGGCTGATGTTTGGATAATGACCAGTTCAACCCAATAATCAAATCACAACAGCATGCTACTCAGAGCTTTATCCAATTGGATTTTTAATATCTTGAAGGATTAAAATTTTACAACTTCTGTGAGCAACATGTTCTAGTGTTCATTTACCCTCAAGATAAAAGACTTTTTTCTTATTTTTAAACAGAATTAGCTATATTTCAATTTATGTCTATTCCCTCTTTGTCTTTTCATTGGGTGGGAGTGAGCAGAGTCTCTCACCAATCACTTACATCTGTTGATAAGATGCACTGGAATATTCTCTTCTGGAAAGTCACATTAAAGACATGAACAACTTTTCTAAAATGTTTCATCCTTAATTTCATAGGTTTCTTTCCTTTCCTCACCACACAGAAAATCCCTGGAGCTATTTAAAAGATGTGTAGAGGTGGCCCTTAGGTATATGGTTTAGTAGTGGATGGGACAGTTCTGTGTTAACAGTTGGACTTAATGATCTTGAAGGTCATTTTGAAACTAAGCAATTCTGTTTCTGTACTGGATTGAATGTTTGAACTAGCTGAGGACTCTACTATATTATGGTGCATGTTTCTCTTTTTCTGTAAATGATAAAATATGATGCTAGAAGCTGAACTCAATTGAAGCATGAAATTGCTGGATTAAGAGAGGAAACCTGTAGTATTTTTAGGAAGTGTTCTTCTGTTGCTTCTCTTTCTAACACATGCAGAGGGTTTTAGTTTGAGAGGGAAAGATGGGCATGCATATTAATCTTAAGAAAGGGTTTAATATGGGATGCAATTTCACAATTATTTTAAGCAAATTTATCCATTGGACATACCATCTCCTGCAATCTCCCACACCTTTGGCCGTGTATTCGTAGCATTTCTTTTTTATAGTTTCTAGAGATCTTTTGATGTAGGGTAAGTCAGATCAGTGAGCTGATCCAACTAAAAATTAGCCTACAAATAAAAATGATTAATTTTCATTTTAATCAGCTCTCTGATCAAATTTATCTGATAGCTGCCCAAACACTAGAGAAGAAATGAGGGAGAGCCTGGGAAAATAAGGGTGGAGAGGACACCACCAGGACTGCTACTTTGACCACAGCCCACAGTTACATTGACTTTTAAGTCTATCAATAAACCACAGGGTCAGATACCCAGCAGTGATAATTTTACACGTCAGCATTAACTGTTCATTCCCTGCATGAGAAAAGAGGGGGTGGAGGTCACAGATGAACACAGTTCACTTTGATTGACAGCTGGTTGCTCTTAACTTTCCTCTTTCAACTTGCTTTTTTTGATCTTTTTGGATAATGCTGGTGTCCTGTCACTTAGGTATGTAATCAGGGATTTGGTTTTAGTTCAGCCCTGTCCTTAGGGTTTCACATGAAGGTTAGTTTTACATCTTGCAGGGCTCTTCTGATGACATCTCAGAGATGCTATCTTATTCATACAGCTAAAATTCTTATTTGGGGTAATATAGAGTTGCTGTGGGATCATCCAGGGTATATTTATTTGGAATATTGTTTGACATTTTCCTGTAATATTAAATGCACTGCACTTCTCCCAGCATACCTCCACTGTTTTTGCAGTAACAAATGTGAAATAATACTGTCTTCTGTCCTTGAGGGCTTTGGTGGCCTATTGCTGTTCTTCTTGCTGTAAATTCTGCACTGTAGTACTGCTGCTGGGTTAGTTTCCATGTTGAACTTTGGTGTTGTTTTCCAAGCTATGCTTCATGTTTAAAATAGCCTCTTACAAGCTGATGTATTCTTTCCATCCTTTTGTGGATTCTCTTCTACTTGATGCCAGCAGATTTTGATCATTCTTACTGTGCTGACCAATAATGTGTCACTGAAAAAAGATTAGAATACCTAAATTGCAAAATAATATCAAGCATATTAATAGTAAATCAACATTTATGTCTGAAATTTTTTGATTCTGTTGCTGGTTTTCTGACCAAAGAGACATTAGTCTGAAGAGCTTAAGAGAGCTGCTGTGTAGATTTAATCATTCAAGCTCAAGAAGCATAATGAAAACTTTTCTAACAGAGCTTGCTATAATAGTGCTAATTTCCCTGTTTTGTGCAAAGCCCAGGATCAAGATAGAGCTGCGGTAATTTGCACTATCTGTTGTCTAGATCTGAGGGTTTCCTTTTTCTGCTGAAAGACAAGGATGTACATTTTCATCTATACTGTCAGGTGCATTATGAAGGTTAGGGAAAATAAAGGGTAAATAAATAATTCACTCTGCAAAAAGCGTGTGCTTGCATATCTATTTGGGTTGCAAGATGTACTTATTTTTCTGAAGAATAGAAGGGGAACTGACACTTAAAAAGTTACATTATATATTCTGAATGTATCTTCTGTATTTGCAAACTTTCTTTAGCTTGGCGACAAAGAAATATGTAGGTGCTACAAATTACAGAGAAAAGATTCACAGCACCTTAACACCGTGTGGTACCTTCCTGTTTTCAGGAAGTGAAGATGGAAAGGCTTATGTTTGGAATCCAGAAACAGGTAACTAATTATTTTATGGGCTTAGGCCAAATTGTCAAAGCTGAAGGGTGAAAGATTTTTTAAAGTTTATTGGAGCAATTTTGATATGGAATAAAACTTCAGTGAAACGTTCTTAAATCCAGAAGCTTTAGCTCCATGTTTTAAATAGCTGTTATTAATCTCTGAGATTTAATTCTCTAGAGGAAATTAATGAGGAAACATTTGTAATATCCAGCATGACTGAAGCACCTGAGGCTCAGCTTTTTGTATACTGTAACTCTTTACATGTGGTGAGGATCTTAAGATGGAGTGCACAAAAAATGTTTTAGGTCAGTTAAGTTTTTATGTTGTGTTGTTTAGATTTGAGAATCAGGCTCTTGTGCAGAACCACTTAATCTCTGGTGGGTGGCCAGAGACTGAATTTTTTCGGTGTGTGGTATATAAGGTTTTACTGTAAATTAGTCTCCAAGCCAAGTAGTTTCAAAATAGCTACCAAAATCTTTCTGTAAAAATGTGATGAAAATGTGGGGTAGAGTTTCTTGTAAAGGAGGTAAAGGAGATGAAAATAAGAGCAGAAAGTAGCAGAATACCATTTTGAATTTGAGGACATTATAGTCTGTCTGTAATTGTAATTTATATAGTATTTTAAAATAACAAAGTTATATACTTTGAAACTGGCAGATAACTAACAGTTCTGTTTTGAATTTTTTTCCGTGTTTCCAACTGTGTTAACTTGTATCTTTGCTGCTCCATAATTTGCCTAAAAACTTTTAAAAAAATAATAAAAAGTAAAAGGAAGGAGGAACTTTGTTATTAGTGTGTTTTTATTGGATTTTGACTTTTGTGTACACACTGTATTTGCATTTATAGTGCCATCAGCTGAAGAGCTAATTTTATTTATATTTTTAAATAATTTTCTCTCAACTTTCACTCATGTTATCAGTATTATATAGCTGAAATCCACAAGTAAGATGGCTATCTTTGTACAATGCAAGAACAAACAAATACTGTGGAACGCCACCTTTCTAGAATATGCTTATCAGAATGAGAGAACTCATCTAACCTGGTGTATGCTCCTCTGGCATTTCCTGCAGCTATTGCAACAGCACTAACTTTTCTGACTTATAGAATAACTTATAAGCATACAAAATTTCCTTTGTCTTATGCCAAAATACAACTTTTCAATCAGGAAATTGACTGAAGAACATTTATTAGCAGTGGCAAACACTGCAGTAATACAAGATTTAACCAACTGTTATTTTGCTGTATCAAATGTTTCAAATGTTTTTCCATGGCATTAATAAACTTCATTTCTGCAGGAGATCAGGTGGCGACATATTCTGATCTCTCCTTCACATCTCCACTTCGTGATGTTGCCTTTCATCCACATGAGCACATGGTGTCTTTCTGTGCCTTTGGTCAAAACCATCCAATACTTATATACATTTATGATTATAAAGGTACAGTACAAATTTTCTTGATACTCACCTTTAAGTATTTTATTTTGAGAAGCGATGTGTTACTATTTGTCCTTCTTTTGAGAGAAAAAGAAAACAGTCATTTGATGATAATGCATATCTTTTTCCTGGGAGATACCAAAACTGGATTGAACATAATCCCGCTCAGCCTGTTCTATGTGATGCTGCTTTAAGCAAGGGTTTTGGCCTAGCCAGAATCGCCAGAGGTCCCTCAATTTTTTTGTGTTTCATACTGTGTGATTTTCGCAATACTTTATCATATATAGGCAGCATTATACAAAAACCCTTTTTGTAATATCAAGGTAGATTATGGATCTGGAAAAAAACAATTATTTGGAAAACTAATTATTAGCTTAATTAAAATCTGAGTAATTTGTGCCAGCTATGTTAAAAAATAATGTTGAAGAGCCATATAGAAATGAATGAGAGTGTATAGACTTCTGAGAAATAGCTGTTATAGCTGTGATGTCATTGTGTCAGAGACATGTTTATTCCACATGTCATATTGAAGAGAAGATAGTAAAAAATAAATTGGAATTTTTGGTATACAGAATAAAATTCAGATTGTCCTTCACAGGCTTTCTTGATAGTTGTGTTCAATTAAGGACATTTGCATCTAGAGAGTTAATGTGTTAATATATTAAAAATATGCAGAATTTTTTTTTCAGTAAGTAATATGCATTAATTTTTTGTATGAAGTATGTTTGCAGAGGACATAGATCTGTAAAGCTAGTCCTGTCTTTATACACTGTCTTTTTAAGTAACATGTAGTAGTAGAATTACTCATATAAATTCTCAGTGTAGGTTATTTGTTGAATTGGTTGACTTTTACAGGAACATTAAGTGGAGTGACTTTGCAATCCATATTCAGTACTATACTTCAATTAAGTAGGATATTGGTATTTTAAAGAACAAAGACTTTTTTTGGGTGAAGGGTTTGTTCAGAATTTTCTGATAAGCAGACAGTGAGTCAAACTTAACATAGCAGTTCGAAATATATATATTTGTGCATGCACATTTAGAGATCACACAGCGCAGTCATAGTTATTTGTGTCTTCTGACAGAAATAACTGCTGAAATAAGGCTTTGCATAGGTTGTGGTCTTTTTTTGTATTGTTGGTTATTGTCTTTATGTGCCTTTTTTTGGTTAAAAAGCATCCTTTTTGCTTTCAGAAAATAGTCATATTGCCTCAGTGTTGAAAGAGTTAAACATGCAGTAATACTAATTTTAGTCTCTGGCTAAAATACTAATTTTTAAGACTCTGACAGCATGTGTTTTAGATACACCAGCAGTTTTATTAATATCATAGGCAGAACTTCCACAAAGAATTCTTTTAAGCTTTGTTGGCTTGAGACTGTAGTACAAAAAATTGCAAAAGTCAACTTGTCATGCAGTGTGTCCTGTGCCTGTATGTCTGTCAACTTATGAAATATTGCTCAGGCATCATAAACTCACTTGAACTAGGCTAGAAAAAATGTGCAATGTCACCAACTTGAACTCAGTGCAGGCTTTATATCTTTATTGCCTTTGAAAAATTCCTTTCTCTTCCCACTCTTTCCCCCCACCCAATGCCAATATTTCTGCATGAGGAATACTATCGTTTATAAGCAATACAAAAATACGAGTTCTGTATGAGAGATTACTGAACACAAATAACTGGAGTGAGATACTGTGATCAGAAGAGCTAGGAGGAAAATTGGGTGGTAAGGGGAAAATTTCAAGTCGCTTTCAGGTTTTCCCTATAGCACTGTTGGTACAGTTTCTGATGGTATTTGACTGAAGACATAGGCTGGCAAAATGACTGTGCTCCTTAAATTTTTTTTTCCCATGGCAATGTAAGACTTCACCTGAGACATTAATGTTGGTTATTTCTACAGTTGCTCAACAGGAAGCTGAACTTGTAAGAGATCTCAGTTCATCACTTACCACAGCTGCACCAAGAGGGCCACACTTCTTTAGCAGTTTTTCTGAAATTCCTGTACAAAAAAACTCAGTGATGTCTCCAGCAGATCAGTTTCTCAGTGTTGCAAGAGCATCAATGAGAATGCAGAAGGTGAAACAAAAACTTGATTCTGTTATGGTAAGTCAAATTTAATTAATGTCAGAAGTATATAGTCTTCCCATATTCTGGAACTGGTATACTTAAAGAACCATATGTGTTGTCATGGCATCTCTCACTTATACTAATGCAGGTTTAAGTAGCTCTTAAGAAAAGAGCAATCTTAAAAAACTTAATTTTCTTTTTCAAGTACTGATGACAAGGGATTTTTTTGTGCTAGTATCCATTGCTGTTTGTCCATTTATGTAAAATCAGGGATCCATAGATCATTCTGGGTACCTTAAAAATTGTATGTGGCATAAATAGTAGGGGTTTCAGGGAGATGCAAGGCTGGGAGGAGAGCATGCCCCGTGCTGGGCACAGGTGTTTCAGGCCAGCTCAGTGAAGGACAATATGGGCCCATTGCACAACTGAAACTGGAACTGAACAGAATATGGTACCTCTGAGAAAACAGATTTAAGATAGGTCAGAACCTACTACAGACAGGAAATACCATAGCAGAGGAGAAACGCAAAGGAAAACATGTCAGGGGGCACAGGTGAGAATATAGGAGAAGGGATGTGAGAAGTCATGTGAAATGAGGAGATATGAAAGACACAGAAGGAGGCAGGGAGGTGATGCAAGAGACACAAAACAATGCAGAAATGGTAATACTGGGGATATAACAGAGTAGGCTTCAAGGGAAAGACAAGAGATACATGAGGACATGCAAAGGAAAACACAGATGATTACGCCTCCAAACGGGTTGCAAACAATGGAAGAATCCATACTGGACATGTGCAATCCCCAAGGGGATGTTGTCTGGTGGAGGATCCATACTAAAGCAGTTGAAAAGAGCAAGAAAAAAACATTCAAAAAGAGCAAGTGCACTAGCCTCACTCTACTGCACCACCCTTCCATTGCCTTTCCAAAGGGACTGAGTTTAATGTAATGTTGAAATCAAGGAGACTGGGGATTAGAAAGGAGCAAAAAGGTGCCTGAAGTGGAGACAGACAAAAAGGGATGAAAAGTGTTTTCTTTGGTTCTTTGTTTTACTATTTGTCTTGTTTCTCAATACTCAAATCAGTACTTAAAGCTTTTGTAATTGGCAATAAATTTAATTAAGTTGAATTCCCCAACTTGAGACAATTTTGCATGCAACAAGGATGCAAAATGTAGCTGAGTAGCATTGTAATTAATTTCACAATGACATGAACTTGCATTTGGGTTTGCATTTGCTGTTTTTCATTTTGAAGTACTTTTGAGTACATGTAGATTTTTTTTTTTTGTAGCTTTAGGTTTTGTCTGCATTAATAACCAGTGAATCACAAAAGAAGCAGATGAGTAGATGAAAGGGGTTGTTGCTGAGGTTGCTGTAACTACTGTCATCATGCTGTAGGGGTTTTACTTTGGATTAGATTTAGTCTGGTTCCTTGGCTTTGGCATCCCCACTAGGCCTGTACTTTGAAACTGTCTGGAAGAAAGGTCTTCACACAGACCGCAGATTTCTAGACTGTGAACTCCCAGTGAACCCCTTCATGAAACGGCACACGGTAGCTCTCATGGATAACAGTAGTCTGCTGCTTCTACCTTTCAATTACATGTGGCCTGACACAAGGAAGGAAACCTTGTTTCTACTTCCTGGTCATTCTGTTCCCCTCAACTACGAAGTGAGAGCTGTCAAGTTGTTTATCAGAGAAAGGCACAACATGGAGAGAATGGAACATGTAGCCTTGTGTCTGGGACAAGTGCTCCAGGGTAAGTTTTACTGTTCTGGGTGTCTGGTCACATGAAGAAAAAGATGAGGTTAGAGAATTTATGAGAGTCTTTATCATTGCAGCTGTTTACTCACAGAATAACCAGCAGTATGGACTGTGAAAGACAAATCTGGTTTAGCAAAAGCATCCAGAAGTTCCATGTTACTGTGTGACTAGGTGAAATAGATAAGCCTACAACTGTGTTTGTAAGAGTAACTTTTGGCCACTGAAGTTCTGTAACCCTAGATTTCCGTTGACTAGTTTGGGATGAGTGAGTCCACTGTGAGCAGAGTAACGATCAGTGGTTTTGACTCCAAGCATCTTCCAAGCCCTCTATCCATGTGAGAGGTGTCCAAAAGTTCATCTGAGTCTTCTTACTGTGGGAGTTTCCAATCAGTAAAGGATGGTAGTAGAAAGAATGCACATCGTTTGATATCTGTCACATGGCAGTAGTGACTATAAACACTGAGAGTGCTTCCTTGCTGGAATTTATGAACCACTGAGATATGGGGGGGGAGAATTCCTTAAAAGGAGTCTTGATGCTAATCTTTTCAGTGATGCAACATGACACTCTGGGGACAATGGTAGATACTTTTTAAGAAGGGATAGGATCATTTTTTGCATTTGGCTGCAGTATTGCCTGCCTGATATATCACATTTTGGACAGCCCCAGACTAAAATATACAACATTAAAACTTAAAACTTGTCCTAATTTGTAACTGGGAATTAGTTTTTAATGTGTGTGCAGTTCCCTTTCTCATATGAAAATTGATGTGTGTATGTAAGTGCAGGCTTTGCTGGAAGGTTTATAAGAATGCACACTCACATGAATGGTTTGCTAAAGTGTTTGTCAAAGTAGAACTCTTTAAAGTTGCCACTCAGCCGCATGTGTGAGAATGTGCTAATATTTCTGGGAACAGACAAGTGCAAATGGAAAAAGATGACTTTAGGAAACCACACATAGGGTGGCTTCCTGTGGTCGAGTTGGAACATTAAAAATCCAGATGAGAACACAGGTGTTACCTTGTATGTATTTCACAGAATCATAGAATATGTTGAATTGGAAGGATCCCCCAGAGATCAAGTCCAACTCCTGGCGCTGCACAGCACCATCCCCAAGAGTCACACCATGTGCCTAAGAGCATCGTTCAAACACTCCTTGAACTCTGTCAGTCTGGTGCTGTGACTGCTTCCCTGGGGAGCCTGTTCCAGTGCCCAGCCACCCTCTGGGTGAAAAAACTTTTCCTGATATTCAACCTAAACTTCCCCTGACACAACTTCAGGCCATTCCCTTGGGCCCTTCACTGGTCACCACAGAGGAGAGATCAGTGTCTGCACCTTCTCTTCCCCTCACAAGGAAGTTGTAACTGCAGTGAAGTGTCCCCTCAGTCTCCTCAGGCTGAGCAGACCAAGTGACTTCAGCTGTTCCTCATACAGCTTCTCCTCCCAGCCCTTCACCGTATTTGTTTCTGTCCTTTGGACACTCTGTTTAATGTATGTCTTAGGTTGTGGCACCTGAAACTGCACACAGCACTCAAGGTGAGGCAGCCCCAGTGCAGAGTAATCCTGGTCTTTGGATCATGTTTGCATGCCCTTGTTACAGATACAGAGGAAATACCATGCTGGGACAAGCTTGGTGGCAGCATACCTTGTAGACCTGGCCTAAGGTCACACCTGGGGTCATGTTTTACGATACAAAGGTGCTGGAACACACAAACAGCAAATCTGCCTACATGGTGGTCTCTGGTTTTAACATGTGTCAACAGCATAGCTACTGGATTTAAAACTAACTTTAAAGGGTATAGTTTAGAGTTCTGTGACTTAGATACACGATTGGAAAATGTGATGTCAGTACATTCAAGTCTGAGTTAAACTAGATAGAGAATACTCTGATCCTGTATAAGCTTGGGTTCTTTGTCTTATGACCCGTGCGCCCTTTTCAGGTCCCATTAGAACCAATAGTTTTTTTGTTTTTCTTCTTTTTACCTAAACATGAACCTTAAGAAATGATAGATAGTTTCTTTTCTTCTCTTCTGCAGCATTGCCATTCTTAGCCCAGAAATTAGAACCAGGAGTTGACTATTAAAGTTTTAGCAATTCACAAAAGCGAAAACCTTTTTCTACAAAAGGTAAAAATTCATTTCGGTATGAAACCAAAATGCAGAATTAGCTTCTGTAGCTCATCAAGAAATTACAGAGTAGTGAATCTTGGCAGCAGCTATTTATCTCTATCTCAAGGAACTAATTCTAATACATGATTCTATTAATGGAGGTTTTTGATAGGAAAAATTTAACTCACCTCTGGCTCTTGGAAGTACTCATAAGTGTTTTTCATTCAATGTTGCTAGTCATTAATTTCACTTCCAACTAGCAGTTAAAAAAACAGTGTATAACTATCCATAACAAGGGGATGATGTATGTTGTGTAGGTGTAGAGAGAAGGGCTTTCTTTGAAAATGTAGTATTCTTGCTCTAAAATTTGGCTTTTAGATGTCTGGCCTCTTTGTATCACTTACGAATAGCATCTGTATATGCTCTGGAGTATAAGTCTCAAAATCAATTACATGTTGGCTGCTTTATCTCTCAATATATGCTTTTGCCACATTGTCAAGTCTTAGAGCATTCTACTTTTTTATCTCATGCAATTCACTTTTAATGTGAAAACTAGTTTCACTGAAAGTGTGTATTTGCATAATTTGCATAGAGCTGCCCTAACACAAAAAAGAAAATGCAAATCATCTTTGTTTAAACCTGGCAAAAAATATGTAGGTATCTTTATTGTGATGGAAACAATAAGAGTGTGTGTGTTTTAACTCTTTGTCTCAGTAAATTCACAATAGTAGTAAGCTGTATCTTTGATAAAGTTGTGGTTTATGCATGAAGAAAGCGGAGCCTGTGGTGAAAAATAAGTAAATTCATGGTTGGCTATCTTAGCCAACTTTGCTTATTGTTGTAAAGGTATTTAGCAATGATTTCCCACATTATGCATTTCAAAAATAATGTCTTTTTGTACTGTGTATAGTCTTGTGTCTGCCTGCTGTAGGAGAATTAGTTTTCATAGAATAGCTTCACCTGGAAGCAGTTGTGCTTGATTCGCTATTCCTCACTTATTAGCTGAGTGCTTCCCATTTCTGTTACAATGTTGTGCCTTTTTTTTCTCCTTGGACCTCTTAGAGATTTAAATAATGCTTAAGAGCTAGTGGCAGAAAGGTCATTTGAAATTTTGGTTTTGTCTCTAGTTTGGATGGACAGTCTTTTATAGTTCAACTGAATTCAGCTTCACTGCCATCAAGAGGAGGAATGAATCACTTCCTGTAAGACTACTTAGACATAAAACTTCATTTTTCATATCTGTTTCATTAAAAATGTTTTAATCTTGTTTTTAAGGCCTTGGACAAGAAGGAAGTATTCTAAGAGAACTTATGCTGCATTTTAGAACAGATGATTTTCTTAAATCCTCAGGACTATACATTGTCATCTCTTCTATATGTTTTGTTGCATTTGATTTCAAAGCGTGCTATTTGGCATGTATTGTGAGATCATTTGCATAATACAGCAGGAAAATAAAGAGAAGTGAATTAAGTGTTGTACAGGAACAATTTACATAGAGTTCCAAATCTCTTACATAATTTGTTCAAGGACTAGAATCAAGAAAGTAGAGCTTCATAATTCTTCCTTCCAGGATGAACTGCAGAGGCATCTATTAAGTGTTAGTTTTCAATAGTTTGCTCTATCCTGTCCTGGTATTATTTGAAATCTCATTTATGATAGCAAATTTGAAGGAGACTTCCCTTAAAGTATTTGACTGGAAAGCCACTGTTTGTCTTGTAGTGTAGTGTGTGCTTTGCAAGAAATTCATGCAAAGGGGAGACCTTCTCATTTATCTAGTGAGAAAGGCTCTCCCTAGAGTTTACAGTGGGTCAAAGAAGATGAAACACTGGGAAGCTGAGCTCAAAACATTTGCAGAACAGATTATTTTTTCTGTGTTTGAGTAAATAGGTAAGCTAATGGCTTTCCACCATTTTTTGTATCAGAAAAAACTTCATATTAATGAAGCTTACTTGCTTGCATATGTAAATGTAAGAAAAGCAGATTGATTTTGTTGTTGCAGTTGTTGAGACAGGCCTCCATTCTGATAACATTTCCCAGCTACTGTTTACTAGCATTCATTTAAATTTGTACCGTGTAGTAAAATCTAGCAGGTTTAATGATTTTTTAAAATCATGCTCAAGGATTAATTTGATTTTCTGTCAGCTTTGGAGTATAGTCATTACAATTGTGCACTTTTGCTACAAGATTCCTTGTTAGTCAAAGATAGTTTTTACTATAAACTTTGCACGTTAGAATTTAATCCATATTCCTGCACAAAAAAACAGACATATTAAGATGAATGTCAGGCGTAGTGGTGCAAAGCAGTTGGTGGCAGATACCCTCTGGCCCAGTCAAGTAACTCATCACACATTTTTACTTCTATATTACCTGCATTCCAGTACACCTGCCGATACCTAGGCATTATTGAATTGAAAAATATTTATTGAATTACAGAAATAATAGTTATATAAAATGTCATTTTTGAGATAGTTAAACCAAAGTGAATCAGTGATTGTCTTCTTTCTTTAAACAGAATTTACAAGCAAGTAATTTGAAAATTTGGAAAATATCACTGGTCCACAACTGAAGTTTAAGATTCTGATCTAGAGTTTACTGAGGCCAAAGGTAGTGCTCTACTGATTGGGAGGTTTTAGTTGGATTGGTGACCATATGCTTTTATTCTATATGATGAAATAGGCTTGACTTTTAAAAGGGTCAAGGATTATGTTATCTTATGTAAATAATTCTCATGAATTTTAGTATGTTAATATCTTGCTTGAGGGAAGTTACAGATATTTTATTCAAGGCCTGTTTTTCTTGTGCCTTGGCTTTGGTGTATTAAAGCAGTCAAAATATATTTAACAAACACTAAAATTTTCAATTGTATCAACCAAAAAGTTGAGATCATTAGATTTTTTTTCATTGACTGTATTGGGCAATATGACAAGAGTAAAGTTTGGGATGGGCTTTTGTTTTCTAATTGTTGTATATATGTATATAAAGAAACACCAAAGGAAAACAGACTTTAACTACATTAAATTAAATATAATATAATTCCAGTCTTACTCTCTGTTGCTACAGAGAGTAAGACTGGAATTATATTATATGTAATTTACATATAGGAAGTGCCTGGGATTTTGGTGTTTATTCCTTTACAGAAATCAGTTCAGTGCTAGGATTGGTTTAAGATTTTTTTTTTCCTATAGTGGTGAGTATCTCTTCATAGATGTAGTGTAGTTTGAGTACTCAAAAAAGAGAAATTATTTTGCATGTATAAGTTTATGAGCTTATGTACATCTTGTTACTTTTATACAAGAAGATGCAACAAAATGCTGGTTCAAACAATTCTGTTCCATTGCACTGCTTGAGAGTTAGTGTCCATATATAAACATACAATTCAGTTTATTGCCGTGCCAGTAATTTTTCCAAGTCTGTATCTCCAAATACTAAGAAAAAATAAATATTGAAGTTGTTAGTCATCGTCAACTTGAGTTTTGATTTTTTTCCTGGAATTTAATAGTTATTTACAGTAAACAAATATTTCTCTTCTAGCTATTGCATCAGTAAGTGACCCAGGAAATTACACTTCACTTTCTGATTTCTCTTCCTATTTCAGGCAAACTCGAATCTCTTGCTTCCTGCACCATCATCTCTCTCACCACACTCCAAGCTAAGACTGCCAGGCGCTCTGAGTATTCCACTGAATCCTCTGTATTCTTTCACTGCTGAAAGTGGTAAGTTTCTTTTTTTCTTCACTCTTTTTAGGGAAGAGGTGATAACTTCTATGAAGACTTATTTATTTTCTGCCTTTTAAAATTTTGCTGTGCAGCTCTTTTGGGGACTAACCCAGTTTGGTTATATGTGATACTGTTTATTAAGTGCAGTGTGATACGGTCCAATGCTGATGCATGTTTCTTTGTAATACTATTTTTTTTTCTTTAAGCTGTATATCTGTTCATTAGTGTAAGTTTGTAGAAGAGGATGAGATTGCCAGCTTTTCTTAATTTAATATTTTGATAATATTTTAATGCTTACTAAAGTATCTTAAACATGGGCACTCAAAAAGAATATAATTTTAAAACATACATACTAATACATAATCATACGGCCTGATAGTCTATTTGCAGTTGTTTTAAATCTAGTTTTAGATTTTTTTCCCTTAAAGATATTTTGTATTGAAAGATTTTGAGAAAAAGGTAAGTAATGCAATTATGTACATTTGTGATGTTTACCTTGCTAATAATATCTGTTTCATTGATAATCACAGTATTTAATAATAAAATTTATAATCTCATGCCATTTTTTTCTGGGCACCTGTAAAATAAGACAAAAAATTGGCACCTTAATTTCAAAGTGTTTTTGTTTTGTATCCTTGAGAAGAGTAAAAAGAATTCCAGAGGGAGGGTGGAATATATAATGAAATAAAAACACGTAATAGAGATTTCAAATGTAGATAGTAAAGATAGGAATAATGTCTATAATTATATAGAATTATCTCCTAAAGGCAGACAATTTTTTTTCGCAAATGAAGTTATGATTACTTTTTCTGAGCAGCTGGGGAAATGGTTCTTAGCATGGTCTAAAAGATTGATCCTGAGACCAGTGGTCTTTCTTGCTCACTAATTCACAATGCAAATGGCCATACACCAATTAACTTCAGTATTTTTAATTTCTACCTAAACAAAAGAGCTTGGAGCCATAATAATATTCATCTGTTGCTCAAAGGATGCATGTTATTTCCACAGTGTGTAAATCTTACAGAGGCAATACAAGGCATATGCTTACATATTGTGAATACTTAAAGTGGACTAACCCTTTAAAGAACATTAACATACACTTTTAAGTTGTTCTATATGGCTATTCCTAGTATTGCTCAAACGAAGGAATTTTATTTTCTTGAATTTTACTTTATGCAGAAGCACAGATAAAAGTGTTGATGGAGACTTCCTAAATAGCATGAGCGAACATAGGTGTATGTTACAGCTGTTCATGAACACTCACAGTGTTTTTTGTTTCCAAAGCTGACCAATACTTCCAAGATGATCCACAGGTACAGGAAAGTATTTATAGAAGGGAAGTGTAGTAAAAAAGGAAATATAGTAAAGAAGAAGCCATGAGAACAGGAAGATTTTTAAGGGAAGGCAACCATAAAAATACTAATGGGACACAATTGAAATTGATTTTTCTGTAAGAAATTTTTTTAAATTGTGAATTACTTCTCTGTTGCTTTGCGGGCCTCCAAGTTGTTCTTCTGTGGTAGACTTGTTTGCAGTGAAGCATGAAAAAGATTTACTTATCTATTTCATCATTCCCCATTGGTTATAAGCTGTGAAGATAAGTGCTGGTGTTCATAGTGCCTAACTGCCAGTTAAAGTTTGCTTTTGAGTAATAGAAAATCTGTACTTAAATGCATCTATTGATTTATTGCTTGTGCTGAAAAGACAGAACCTTTATTTTCTGTGTTGGTTTTATATACAAAATGTATTTTGATTTTGTACTTATGTTAATTGGGATGTTGCATTGTTCACAATTGCTTGTTCTAGAGATCCAGCAGATGGTTACATATTCCTGAAGCTTATGTTGAGAGTTCAGTTCTGTCACCTTTTACTGGGCATTCAGTGCTTCTTAAAGCAAAATGCAGAATTCCCATTTACATCTGTAAACCTCTGTTAGCAATATATTTAACCATGTAACTGGTGTATGTGCATGCTCTAATAGTTCAGTAAGGTGATAGCTGTTATCTTGTAGTACAGGTGGTGTAGTAGCCTGAATATATGCAGCCCTTTCTTTTTAAAAGACAGTTTAATTGCCTCGGTCTTGCCTGAGGTAGGAAACAGTGGAAAAACAGTGTTTCCATCTATGTGCTATATGGACAGTAGCAGTAAGACAGCACATCTTTCTTGACGTTCAAATCTTTTCATATCCAGATACTTTTGCAGAATTAGCTGTTTGTGACTTTTATATTATAATACTTCAAATAAAAGTAATATTCACTGCTATCACTTTTAAATATGTGTGCTCATTTTGACAAATGGGTTCTGTATACCCTGACATATTGTGTGTTTTGGCTTTTCTTCAAGTGCATAATTTCAGAGATTTATAGGCTTTAATGAAGCCCCAGTTTTATTCTGCTATTTCCCCACTTCTCTCAAGAGCAGTTAGCTCATGGATGCCAAGGGAGGACTGCCTTTGTTTTCAACCAGCTCTAAATTAAGTAATTAATTGTTTAATCATCTCATAGAGAGCTTCAGTATCTTTCTCAATGACAGAATATTCTTTATGTGAGATGAGTAAAGACAAGACCATGATATTATTGACCATGGAGCCCAACCCTCCTCCTTAAAGTGGATTCGCCTAGAGCTCAGGACTGTATCCATTTAGATTTTGAATATCTCCAAAGATGGAGGCTCCAAAACATCTCTGAACAACCTATTGCAATAGTGGACTGTTTTCACGGGAGAGGATTTTTAATGATCTTTAAATTATATTTAGTGTATTTCAGTCTGCTTTGGTGCATATTTCTCCTGTAGTTCATGACTTGGGATTTTCCCTTGAACTTCAAGAGGTTCTTGTTGGTCCATTTGTGTGCCTTGTCAGGGCGCCTCTGAATGGCAGCATGTTCCTCTGCTGTATCAGCTCCTCCTCCCAGATTTTTATTATCTGCAAATTCATTGAGGGTGCACGCAGTCCTATCATCCAGGTCATTAATGGAGAAGTTCAAGTGTGGACACCAGTATCGACCTGTGGAGTGCACCACTGATCTAAAATATCCAGTTAGATTTCACGTGAGTGGTTACAAACCTCTAAACTCTCCAGTTCAGCCAACTTGCCAGTCTGCTGCACTGTCTGTTTTACATAGTGCACACTTGAGCCGTTCATCTGTGGGAATGGGGGGACAGTGTTGAAAGTCTTGCCAAATTCAAGGTTAACAACATCTACTGCTTTCCCATTGATTCTTTGCAGTGCTGTGCGAGAGTTTTGTCAAGAGCATTGGTAGAATTTCTAGAAGAACATAGTGAATTTTGTCAAATAGTATTTAGCAAACAAGTGCCACAAAGCAGGTACAATACATGGATCAATTTATTTTTATGTGTTATGTATAAAGCATTTCATTAGAGACATTTAATCAGATTTAACAGAGTTAATTACAGAAAGTGTGTGCTGTGTGTCTTCCTCTCACAAAGATTGTTTTAAATTTGAGGGAAAGGCATGGAACTTAGGTTTTCTTACCATCTGTCATGATAGCCTGTTTGCCGGAATTTTTCATCAAGAGTGTGACTCATTTTACCACATCAGGATAATTTTTGTGTCTGCCTCAGTATAGTTGTAGCTGTGCTCATAGCTATGTCAGTAATTTGGAAAGTTTGCTAGATGTTTGTCTTTGGAGAAAGTAATCCCCTTTGAGTTTTACATTGGTAATTTAGGTTTACTAAGTCTTATGAGTGTTTAGTACTGGTAAGGAATCTGTCCCTAAAGGTATATAATATTTAAGGTTGCTGAACTTCTTTTCTTCTTCCTTTGCTTTCCTTTTTTTTTTCTTGTTTTTCCTTCTGTGGTAATAGCATTTGATTAAGATCTGTCTTTGATAGTCAGAATTGAGGTTTTACTTTGCCTGTGCTGTAAGCTCTGGCTATGCTCATGCTTAGTGCTAGTTTTATCATACCTGGCCTGTAGTGCTGTTCTGCAGCACTGCACTATAGCATTATCCAGGACTTTGTCTTAAACATTCCTATCTCTTTCTTCTCATATGCTCCTCTTTCATAAATTTTTCCAGAATGACCATTTCCTAGTTGTTATTTTTTTAACAAACAGTGAAGTAGTAAAAACTTCAGATTCTCAATTGCTCATCTGGCTTGCAGACCTTAAAATCCCCTCTGGTTTTATTTGCTTTTCCTCCTTAAGACTGTGAGCATCTTTGGACAGTGAAATCACCTTCCTATGAGACACTGTTCTGGAGGTCTGTGGCATGCCATGAAAGAAATATCCGGCATCTTTGGGCTTTTTTCAACAGTGACTCTTCAGTAACTACCATTATGTTCAGGACATGTTTTCTAAAATAAGTTTTAGGTTTCAAGTCATTGTAATTAACGGTGACCCTAATTGTTAATTATGTGGGAGTTTGAAGCCTGACTATAAATACTACATAGATCTGTTCACAGAAATTTGGACTTCAATAAAATCAGTTAATTAAACTTGCTCTTAAAAATTAATTACGTATGTGCTAGAAACGTGATGGTTCTTGTATCATTAAAGAAAATTTCAGAAACAAAAAAAACCACAACATTTTGGCAGGGTTGAGAACAATTAGAAATTTTCTCTCCATTAACACAACTGACAGTCAAAGGTGTTTTCCACCTATATAAAGAAAAAGCTTCAAAGTATTCTTTATTGCTTTCTAAAAAATAAACAAAGCTGACTTCACATTTAAGTCCTCTGCTGCATTTGATAGACTATTGAAGACTGCTTCTTTCAGTCTCAAGCAAATGGTGAAATAGATTTCTACATGAAAGATATCAGAAATATTCATGCATCAGTTAAATGTTCTTAAAATACCATTTATATTCTTGGGTTTTTTTTAATAATTAGAAAAAGGAGGTACAGTTTTGCTACACCAGGTAGCAAAATTCACATTGTGCAGAGAGCAGAAATACATGTCAAAAGTTGCAGTCTCATATATGTTAAATCATTGATTGATTTCCACCCCACTCCCCCCACCCCCCTCCCCCCCCCGCCA